AAATAATAAGTTTTAATATTATTAAATTTCTTCAACTAAAATATAATAGAATAGTATACTTTATAGTTATTTAGCTAAAATAATATTTCTGCTATACTTTACTAAGAAGTATCTATTTCCAGCTGGATTTTTTTTTAAGAATTAAAATATTTTAATAAAGATATAGTTTTAAAACTATAAAAAAGCTGTCGGAATACTGCTATTTTTTTATTAATTAATACTACTTTCCCAGGCTTTTTCTCATTCTTGGTGCCTTTTAAAAGGAAAGTCAGTGGTAATATAATTAAAAAATAATTCTTAATAAAATATTAATAAAAGTTGCAGAATCCTAAGAATACTTAGATCTTATAGTATATAGTTAGTATCGGTTATATAAGAATATCGGATATCCGCCGGATATCTATTAATATACTATATAAGAATATAATATATTTCAGAAATTTAATATAATCTTAATAAAAAGTATACTTTAATAATTTAATATAAAAATCTGCTTTTTATAAATATTCTAATACTTATTATAAATAAAGAGTATAAGAGGAGCGGTTTTTAAAAAAAAATAAAAATATTATCTAAATAAGCCACACAGAAAACGTCTAATATGTTATAAAAAGCTAAATAAATATAGTTTTAGAATATAGCCGAAGTATTAATTAATCTAAATAATATAACTAAATATTTAAAATATTTATAACAGATTCGAAAAGCTGTTTTTTATTCGTTTTTCTGTTTAATATAGATTTGATAGTATATATTTTAGATATCTAATTTCAAAAAATATTTAGCTTCTATAATTCTGTTTAAAATTTCTAAAATTAATAGTAAAGAATAGTAATTCTTAACTAAAATCTTATTAAGTTCTTTGTAATCTATATATAGTCGGAAATCTTTATTTTTTTACGGTATAAAAAGAATAAAGGCTCCCGTAGAACTCTTTAAAAACTAAATTTATTCTAATCTAATATTTTTATTAATATAATAATAGAGAGATTAGAGCTTAATTTAAAATAAAGAATAAATAGGTTTATACAGTAGGATTTTGTTCTTTTTTAAATTAATAGCATAGTTTAAAAGTCTATATAAAGAAAGTTGTTAAGAACAGCTTAAAAAAAATATATCTAAAAAATTATAGAGTTTTAAAGATAATATAATCTTATTATTTTTAGTTTATAATTAATTCGAAGAAGTTTTATTTTTAGATAACTATATATCTTCCGGAAGTTTTATTATAGTATAAATATAAGTAAGATTTCGGCAGATTTTTATAAACTTATAAGAAATTAAAATCTTTAATATTTAAATCTTATACTACTACTATTAATTTTATACAGATAGATAAATATATAGATTTTTTAAAATAGTTATAAAAAGTAAAATAAGACTTTTGAAAAGATCTAAATCTTAGTTAATAGCTATATAATATTTTATAAATAATTATATAGTTTCTCTTAAATTTATAGCGGTAATAGAAATTTTTTATATTCTATAAATATTTATAATAAAATAGTTAATTACAGTAACTAATAGGACTGTAAGATAAGCCGCATCTAAATAAAATTATTAAATAAATTAATAACTAATAAGATTAATTTTAGTATATAAATCCAAATTTATATAGGTTTTAAGAGTATTTCTAAAAAAAATAGATATATAAAACTAAGTAGTAGTTTCTACTTCAGACCAGTTTATTAAAAATATAAAAAATTTTTTAATTACTGCTTTTTTTTATTAGTTCTGATTCGGTTCTATTCTTATTTTTATAAAAATATCTATTAACTAAATAATATTTATTATTATATTTATAGTAATAAAGAATTTTCTCTTTCTGGTTCTTTCTATTCCGAGAGATTTTTAAGAAAAAAAACTAATTACTTGTTTATAGAGGTTTTAATCTTTTAATAGTTTTATTTAAATAATTATTTTATCTATTTAGATCTTGCTTTTTTTTTAATCTAATATATTCTAATAATAAATTATAATAGATACTATTTTCTCGCGGGTATTCGGTAGCTTTAGTATATATTTATAAATATATTAACTAAATTTTAGTACTAACTTTGAGAAAAAGATTAATATATATTTATAGTTTTATTTAAATTTAAAGTAATGTTCTAAGATATCTAAATAAAAATAGAATTTTTTTAGATTCTAATTACTTTGTTGATAAGTTTGTTTGAGCTGTCTTATTATATTAGACTGCAGGGTAACTGTATTTTAAATAAGAAAGAAGATTTATTAAATAAAATAGTTTTAGGATTTCTTAGCTTTTTAACGGTTTTTCGGAAACTTTTTATTAATATATTAATACTATTTCTGTTTGTAGATAGAGTTTAAATAGCTAACTACAGCTAAAATCTTCCGATTTTCGGTATAATACTTCTGAAGAGCTTTTTTAAAAGTATATTATAGATTATAAATCCACTCAGTTCTCTGTTGTAGACTAAATTAAAATATAAAAATAGAGATTTCTTTAAGCTTAATTTTTTTTCCCGTTCTGAAGATGAAGTTGAACTAGTACGGTATTATCAAGATTCTACTAATAATTTAATATTTCTATATTCTATCTATAAAACTCAAACTTGTTTTTTTAGTTACTTTAACTGTTTTAATTGATGAATAGTAGCTTATATTTTTTAGATATTTGCTTAAGTTAGATAGTTTATCTCTAAAGCAGATAAAATATCTTAAAATAATTTTAAAGAGGATTTATAAGATTTTATATTACTTTTTCTTAGATAACTAAAAGATAAAAAAATTAAAAATTGTTAGAAACTACTTAATGCAGTAGACACGCTGGTTAGACAAAATAAGTAATATATATAGTAAAGAATAGTTAAAAGCAGTCTTCTTATTATTTTAAGACTAATTCTTAAAGAATCTTCTTCTCTAAAGAATTTCAGCATAATTTATTATATATAAAAATAAGGAGTAAGCAGTATAATAATATAGGCATCCGGATTGAAAGCCCGGCGGATTAATACCGATCCAGAAGCAAACTATCTTACTGGTAGATAGAGGCTACTGTAGGAATAGGTATTGTATAATAGCTGTTTTCAATAAAAAAACTCGCACCGGTCTAGTTTTTTTAAATAATAATTTTAAGACTGTACACGGTAGTATATTAAGCTGTATAATCTATAATTTATATATAACTTTTTTATTTAAGATTGTTTGCTCTAGTTTTATATTTATATATAATAATACTTTGGTTTATACAGTATAGATTATACAGATTTTACTTCGAGATCTTAGTATTTAAATAATAAATTAGTTATTATATAGCCCAAATCTTAATCTAATTAAGAATTTATAGGTCTTGTTAAAATAATAAATATATAAAGATTATCCGAACTTGGAGAGAGTAAATAATATAATTAAAATATTTATACAGCTTATTTAAGCAGCTAAAGAGATATAGTAAACTATAAAAAATAATATAATTATATATCTTTTTAAAACTATATCTTACTATATTAAGGCTGTTATTAGAGCAGATAGTTGGTATATAAAATATTGAGAATTTGGCGGTGGTGGCTTTTACCGGCAGAATTAGAATATAACTAGTTCTAAATAAAAAGAAGACAAACTCCTAGTAGAAAGAGTACGCAGACTACTTTCGCGGGACTGTACAAGAGCCGATAACGTTTTGCGATAAGGATACCTAAGTAACTTTACCGGGCCTGCGATGCCTCAGGTATGAGTATCACTCAGCTCTGCACCATCAGCTCGCATGGTTCGGTTCGCAACTGAGCCACCTGTCGCCGGGTCTGGAGCAGGTTTTGACCCCACAGCCTCAAGCTCCCAGTCCAGACTCCGACCTATCGCTGCATACGACCCCTGCACGTCCGGCGAAAGTCCCCGCGAGTGATCATCCATACTATTTTGTCGAAGCCCACACCACCGCTTTGATCAACAACAAGCGGTTTATCAGTCACCTCCTTAGGCTGCATTCAGTGCTACGCATGATCGGGGAAGCAGCAGCTTCTCACTTGCGTGTTTTACAGGACTTCCGTCACAACATCGATCGCTTGGGGCATACCGGCCTGATCATCTTGCCGGCCAATTGACTGCTTAAGCTCACACTTGAATGACATTGCTGTCTGCAAACACAATGCTCTAGAAACTTTCATCTTCCGAGAATTGTCCCTATAACCTTAATCAACATTCTCACTATGTCAACCAGGACTTGTTATAAGGCCATTGACTGTGGGCACTGAGTTGGTGCCGGCAACAGGGCGCGTATGGCGTATGACGCACTCGCCGTGAATAGGACTACTGATTACTTGAAGGCTGGACCCTGCGGTCTTTAATCGGCGCTGAAAGGTGACCAGGTCATTCGAAATGTCGCTTGCAGCTGCGGAGCGGACACGCTAGGGCTGGAATGTTGGTTGCGTCTCTTGGCATGTGAGGCATGTGCCCGATTGGGAATACTGCACTCGTTACCTACTGTCTTCGGCTTGGACCATGAAAATGTGCTGATAGGTTGATTAGGCTGCTTTCTGAGAGGATGCAGATGGAGTGACGGGCCTCGAACTCTTGTACTCGATATTCAACTCAGGACTAAGACGCATACGGGCTTCGATGCTGGGAATATTCCAACTCTTAGATGTTCGACACTACAAGCTATGCTCTTCACTTTCTGACATCATTGTCAGTCTGAATCTTGTTTGAACAAAGCTTATCATCGACATGAAACCACATGCTCTCGGAATCGATCATCACCAAAGCTTAGATCATGGTTCCTCTGTCGACCCTCTATGGGATAGGATACAGCCGTTTCGAGGTACTGGACCTCGTGGTCCGGGGGCATGACCATTATCGTCCTTACAGCCTTGTACCTGGCATTAATTTGACCTTTCCCCTTGGGGATGACATACACACGACCATGGATTCGATCCATATGATTAGATCGCGGGTTCTATGATTTCCTAATCCAGACATAGAGTGATTGGGGCTATCCGCATGCGACCATGACAAGTCCCCAAGCACAATATAAGATCACTGGACGTCGTCTCTGGCCAGAAATACGTCTAGCTTCTACTTCGGATCCAGCCTCTCGCCAACACCTCCTCACCACTACAACAAACTAGCCAACCCATCATGAAGCTCTTGGCCCCCATTCTAGCCACCACCTGCCTGGCTAGTAGCGTCCTAGCAGCTCCCCGCAGTGGGCTAGCAGAGCGCATGCAAGCCCGGTCCATGGCTCGTGGTTCGCGTCCCCTACAGCCACACCCTTCAGAATCAGACCCCAAGAGCAACCACCGCGAGGAAGTGGCTTCGTCTCCAAACACATCTCACGTCACATACAGCAGCAATTGGGCCGGCATTGTGCGAGAGGAACCGCCCAGCTCAGGCCCGTACACAGCCGTCAGCGCGACCTTTCAGGTCCCCAAGCCCACCGCTGCAGCCAGCAGCCGCGGCACGCAGGCCGGCTCCGCCTGGGTCGGCATCGACGGCGACACGTACAACGCCGCCATCCTCCAGACTGGGGTGGATTTCTACGTCCAGAACGGCAAGGTCTCCGGCGATGCCTGGTACGAATGGTACCCAGACTACGCGTACGACTTCGATCTCTCCGTGAGCCCCGGCGATACCATCGTGGCCAAGGTCCAGGCCCTGTCGCCCAGCCAGGGGGTGGCCATCATCGAGAACAAGTCTACCGGCCAGAAGGCGACGCAGACGATTTCCGCCCCTGAAGCGACGGCCACCCTGGCGGGCCAGAATGCTGACTGGATCGTCGAGGATTTCCAGGCGGGCGATGAACAGGTTGCGCTCACAGACTTCGGCACGGTCACGTTCACCGGCGCGCAGGCCCAGGGCGGGGGCCAGACCGTGGGTGTCCAGGATGGGACGGTCATTGAGCTGAAGCAGAATGATCAAGTGATGACGGAGGTGGATGTACAGAGCGACACGAAGTTCAGCGTTACCTACATAGGATGATTCCCTAGAGGCTGCTGCATGCTAGCCATTTCTGTTTCACGTGGCGTTTTTATCTGATGATCCTGGTTGTATGTATTGAGCATAGCTATTGCCTATTTATGAAAGTTCAGGTTTGTTTGAAAAGTCGCTCGACGAGGTGTCCTCTGCAATTCCCCGGGGTAATGATAAGTCATAGTAACCAACATAAGGGCTTGATGCGAAATCACATATACTTGCTCTGCACCTCACTACGGCTCCGAGAAACCCTAACACCACGAACATCTAAGCAATGCTCTTGATAGCCTCCTCCAACTCCCGCACATTGCCACCCACCACGCGCTTGTCCAGCAACTTGCCATCCTTGTACAGAACGAAAGTCGGCATGGCGCGGACCTGCAGCTCCTGCGCCACGGAGCGCACCTTGTCGACATCGACCTGGATGAACCGCACGTTGGTGTAGGTCTCGCTCAGCTTGCCGATCTGAGGGGCAACGGCCTTGCAGGGACCGCACCAGGTCGCGAAGAAGTCGACCACGACCGGGCCGGACGAGGTCAGGGCCTTGAAGATGACCGGGCTATTTTTGGTAGAGGGAAATCGAGTTAGTATTCGCAAGATCGCATCTGGAACGTTTGCGGGGGCTCGAATGGCGAGAGAGGGGAAGCGCATACTTGTCAACCTCGATGACTTTGCCGTGAGCCATGATGGGTTTATCGGGGAAGAAGCGGCTTTTGATGAGACGGAAAACTGGAGCAGGCAGTGTGGGTTAGCAGGTGGGAGCTGAGCGAGGAGGGGTGAGGCTTGTACATACGGAACCAGAAGGTGAGTAGGATAATGATACGCGTGAAGTCCATGGTCGGGTGAGGAAAGAGGGAAAAAGAGAGACAAGGTACGGACGGATATCGATGGCGCGCGGTGAGAGGACTCGGGGAGGATAAGACGTGATCCAGACAATGCCGCCTCGGCTATCGAAGGAACCGTAGTAGTTCTCCGCGGTGGGGCAGGAGGTACGTCGTTAACTGATTAGATTTTGGAACGCGATCATTCCAACTATAAAAGATAGACTTATGCTCTTGAGCTAGGGATTTAGAGAAGACAATAAGAAAACATACACTTACAGGAGGAATCATGGAAGGTGGTGCGACTGTCTTGAGCAATGACATGACCGAGCATGCTCCGGTCTCTTATGGCAGGCGGTGGACTTCTGTATGGCAGAAAGATATCAGCCCCGACGGTCAAGGACACTTTCGCCCGATTTGACATTAGTCGGCTAATTAGTTATGCCCGCATAAAATGACTAAGCCATCACATGTCCGCCTCCCCTCCCCCCCATACATGCATAGCCACCAGTCACTTTCCACGCAATCCCCTTAAGCAGGATGTTCACCAACTTAGGTCATCTTGTTTTGAAGGTCAATTCCTATGGGAGACGCAATGCTATCTGATCTACCTTAACCTCTTTGACAGAGTCTTCGAACCACCATGGCCATCAAGAAAGTGCCAGTCCTCCCTTACCGTCGAGGCTCGGACGCCTCCGAGGCCGACTTCTTCGACATCCCCGACGAACCCTGCTGGGCCATCATCAAGCGGCAGCTGCGACACCTTCGGACCTGGGTCGCCTTCATATTCTTCGTCCTCTTTATCCTCTTCCTCCGCCGAGAGAAGCCTCCGCCACCCAAAGTGACCCATATCGATTACAGCCGCGTGGACTGGTCCCGCTACGCTTACAGCCAATATGCCACCTCGAGCCCTTACCTCTGCAACGCCCTGTTGACATTCGATGCCCTTGATCGCCTAGGTAGCAAGGCGCAGCGCGTGCTCTTCTACCCTGAGAACTGGGATGTGATTGTCGAGAGTGACCGGGATCGGGATAGTCAAATGCTGGCGCTGGCGTATGAAAAGTACGGCGCGCTGCTGGTGCCGATTGATGTTCAGATGGTCAAGGCCGGAGCTGGTACGTTTCCTTCATACATGGATGCAGGCATGCATAAATCAATGTGTCCATCATTCTCCAATCGCTGCTCGAAATCATACAGATAACTCACACTCATTTACACCCCCATTAGGTCCAAGCGAATCCTGGGACAAAAGCACCAGCAAGTTCCTCGCCTTCGGCGAAACCGAATTCGACCGGATCATCCACATCGACTCGGACGCGACCCTCCTCCAGAACATGGACGAGCTATTCTTCCTGCCGTCCGCCCAGGTGGCCATGCCCCGCGCCTACTGGCAGCTCCCGGACACGCGGCAGCTCTCGTCGCTGCTGATCGTGCTCGAGCCGTCCTTCAAGGAGTTCTACGCGCTGACGGCGGCCGGCGAGGCGGTAACGTACGGGCAGGTTAACACGACCGGCACGACGACCGCCCGGTACGACATGGAGCTGATGAACGAGCGGTACGGCGACTCGGCGCTCGTGCTGCCGCACCGCCAGTACGGGCTGATCACGGGCGAGTTCCGCGCCGACGACCACCGCGCCTTCCTGGGCAACGACTGGGAGGCGTGGGACCCCGAGCGCGTCCTCAGCGAGGCCAAGCTCGTGCACTTCTCCGACTGGCCGCTCCCCAAGCCGTGGATCATGTGGCCGCAGGAGTTGCTGGCCGATATGCTGCCCAAGTGCAAGGTCAAGCCCGGGACGCTCCAGGAGAGCGGGTGCAAGGATCGCGAGATTTGGAAGAAGCTGTATGATGATTATCGACGGAGGCGGAGGGTGAGTTCTTCTCCTGCTATCCCTGCATGCGTTTACTTGCAAACACATCCCCCAGCCTGGCGCATTTCTTTTCGCTAAAATAACCCCTTCTCCACGAGCAGGACGTATGCAAGCTCCTCAGTTACCCGGCACCAAACTGGCCCCCACGGGACGTGCCCGAGCCTCCTCCCTCGCAGGAGGAAGCGACTCCACCACTCTCATGATTATCGCGTATACCATTCACGGGCTTTTTTTTTCTCGGCGCCATCGGGTGTTTCTGTTAGATCGGTGTGGGATTCAAGGAATTTTTCTCGTTTCGAAATAGATGGTTGTAATGTAACTCTAGAGCATTTTCTTGTGTGTATACTAGCCGCAGGATGGATCGGGACATATTGAGAATATTGTATATAGAGAAGGACTCAGTAGTCTGGTCACATGTCAATATGAGGTTCAAGCACGGTACAAGCAGCGTGGGGACGTATCTGTAATGCTAAGCAATGTATGTGAGATCTTCGTCGCTGATGCAGGCATTGTCAATCCACAACCTTGAATGTGCTAGAGAATTGAGATCGAAAGGAAGGGGTATGAGCGGACTCGGCAGTCAATTGCATAGGTCAATTGACCAAACTGTAGTCTATGCAAAAAAGCTTCTGTCTCCGCGTATGCGTATCGCACATATTTATTCTACTTTGCCCATGGCAATCCCAGTCACATCACCTGGGAAAGGGTCAGATTTTATGAATAATTTCATTTTGTTAATTAGTTCACCCTGCGCTGTCAAGAGACAGCGGCTAGCCAGTTGAACCGGCACTAAGGGAACATTCAAGGTATGAGAAACGCTCTAAATCTATAACGCCCAGCCCGGAGATATCGTCTATCGTTATGTTGAAATCGCATCGTGGCTGTTTATTTCCACACCGTCACGATGATCAATGTATCCCATCCAATGGAAGGATAACAGATGTTGAAAGTGGTAAACCGCAGTGCCAGTGCCGAAAATGAGGGTAAAAAGGGAAAGAAGCTAAAACATGGGTATCACATCGAATCTAAGCAGAATCCTCCACGGGTCCGCAGGTACAGAATAGGTTCTGGTCACCGTAGGCTAGAGAGAAAAGCGAGTTAGAATGATTGTTCGATGGTAGGGGAGGGGCGTTAGGAGCTTACCATCATCCACGCGCGTCACCGAAGGCCAGAACTTCTTCTCCACCAGGTACGGCAGAGGGTAGGCCGCGGTCTCCCGGGTGTATGGTCGGGTCCATTCTGTGGACAGGAGGTCGCGCTGCGTGTGCGGCGCCATCTTCAGGACGTTGCCCTCACGGGGCTGGGAGCCGCTCTCGACTGCGGCGATCTCCTGGCGGATGGAGATGAGGGCATCGCAGAACCGGTCGAGCTCGGCTTTGCTCTCCGACTCGGTGGGCTCGATCATGAGGGTGTTGGACACGGGCCAGGACATGGTCGGGGCGTGGAAGCCGTAGTCCTGGAGACGCTTGGCGATATCGATCGCCTCGATGCCACAAGTGTCCTTGAACTTGCGGACATCGAGGATGAACTCATGCGCGCAACGGCCGTTCTCGTTCGTGTACAGGATGGGGTAGTGCTCCTTGAGACGGGAAAGGATGTAGTTGGCGTTGAGCAGCGTGATCTTGGTGGCGTGCGTGAGTCCCTTAGCACCCATCATGTTGATGTAGTTGAAAGTGATGGGCAGGATGCTGGCACTACCCCAGGGAGCAGCGCTGATCGGGGGAGATGAAGTCTCGGAGCGCTTGGACTGGAGGTATTCGCTGACCGGGTGAGAGGGAAGGAAGGGCCGCAGGTGCTCGGCAACACCAATGGGACCGACACCGGGACCACCACCGCCATGGGGAATGCAGAAGGTCTTGTGGAGATTCAGGTGGCACACGTCAGCACCAATCTCTCCCGGGGAGCACAGACCAATCTGGGCATTCATGTTGGCACCGTCCATGTAGACCTGTCCACCGTATTTGTGCACAATCTCACAGGCCTCCTTGATACCAGGCTCGTAGACACCAAATGTGCTGGGGTAAGTGATCATGATGGCAGCCAGGTTTTCTTGGTGCTTCTCGCATTTAGCCTTCAGGTCCTCCAGGTCGAGGTTGCCGGTCTTGGTGTCACACTTGATAGTGACAACGCGCATACCAGCCATGGCCGCACTGGCCGGGTTGGTGCCGTGGGCAGAGACGGGAATCAAGCAGATGTCGCGCTTCGACCCCTCGTGGGCCTCCTGGTACTTCTTGATCACACGCAGTCCAGCGAATTCACCCTGTGCGCCAGAGTTCGGCTGCACAGTGACTTCAGCCATACCGGTGATATCAGCAAGTTGCTGCTCCAGATCGTCAATCATCTGCGTGTATCCCTTGGCAACATCGGCGGGCATAAAGGGGTGGATCTGAGAGAACTCGGGCCACGAGACAGGGATCATCTCAGTGGTAGCGTTCAGCTTCATGGTGCAAGAGCCCAGGGGGATCATGGAATGAGCCAGAGACAAATCCTTAGACTCGAGATGATGAATGTAACGCAGCATTTCGGTTTCCGAGTGGTGGGTGTTGAACACAGGGTGTGTAAGGTATTCCGACGTCCGCTCCAAGCTGGCGGGAACGGTTGCCACGGCGAGTCTCTCTTCCAGAACGACCTCACCCTTGGAGGCATGGTCGGCGAATATCTGAAGCACAGATCTCACCTCCTCACGTCCGGCAGTCTCGTCCAGAGAAATTCCAACCTTAGTCTCGTTAACGCGACGGAGGTAGAAGTGCTTCTGACGAGCGGCAGACATGATAGCGTCGGCTTCTTGGGTGCTAGGCAGGTCAACAACGACGGTGTCGAAAAGAACGCTGCCATCAGTAGCGTTGGACTTGACAGGAACGTTGTAGCCCAATGCCGCAAGCTGAGCCTGCAGGGTAGCGGTCATAGACATGATACGCTGCGCAATAGCCTTCAAGCCAGTCGGGCCGTGGTAGACAGCATACATGGCAGACATGTTAGCCAGCAGAGCCTGGGCAGTGCAGATGTTACTGGTGGCTTTCTCCCGACGGATGTGCTGCTCTCTGGTTTGAAGGGCCAATCTCAGAGCACGATTGCCCAGACGGTCCTTAGAGACGCCCACGACACGACCGGGAATCTTGCGCTTATACTTGTCGATACAAGCGAAGAAGGCGGCATGAGGGCCACCGAATCCCATGGGAACACCGAACCTTTGGGCATTTCCGAAAGCGATATCAGCACCAAACTCGCCAGGCGCCTTCAGCAGAGTCAAAGCCAGGAGATCCGTGGCCACACTGAAGGTACCTCCAGCACTGTGAATGGTGTCGCTGAGGGTCTGGAATTCATACACTCCGCCCTCTGTGTCAGGATACTGTGCCAGAACACCAATCAGGTTGTCACCCTGCTCCTTGACCAGCTTGAAGTCGTCCGCGAGAATATCTCCAACAACCAAGTTGATGCCAAAGCCCTCCGCGCGGGAACGCATCACAGCAATAGTCTGAGGGTGGCAAAGGTTCGAAACCACGTAAGATTTCCCGGGCTTCTTCTGCTTGGCCATGGGCATGGTGGCCAGAGACATGGTCATTGCCTCCGCTGCGGCCGTGGCTTCGTCCAGGACGGAGGCATTGGCGAAGGGCAAGCCAGTGAGATCGGCAGTCAAAGTCTGGAAGTTCAGGAGAGACTCCAAGCGACCTTGACTGATCTCAGGCTGGTAGGGAGTGTAGCTGGTGTACCAAGCGGGGTTCTCGAGGACGTTGCGCAGGATCACCGGGGGAACAATAGTACCATAGTAGCCAGCACCAATGTATGTCTTTCCCGAAACATCGATCTGTTTCCGGTAGGTGTCGAGCAGTTTGAGCATATCTGTCTCACCCAAGCCACCGTGCACACTGTCGCGGTACAATTTCGCGTTGGAGCTCGGAGGCGACACAGACAAGTCCTTCTTGGACAGGATGTCCGCAGGAAGGACCTGCTTCACGAATTCGTCGAGCGAAGCTACTGGAGGATCTAGCGTGGCCAGCATCTCCTTGGCCGCATCTGGAGCAGGACCGATATGGCGTCTGGGAAATGTATCGAGGGGCTGGAAGAGATCGCGAGGGTGAGGATCACCGTGGTCGCCAATGGAGCTGGTGTATACATGACGACGTGCAGAGGACTGTTCGGAGGAGGTAGTGTGGAGAGAACGAAGGATAGGTGTAGATACTCTGCGCGCAGCAATTGACGAAGGAATTGAGCGCACTCGTGTGCGCAGAGCGAGCTGGCGGGAGCCACGCAGGGCACACCAGGACGCAGCCATAGCTACGGTGGTGATAGTGGTGGAGGGAGTATGGAAGTATGTAACGAGGAGAAGGAAGGGAGGGAGGGAAGTATAGGATGATTTAAGTAGGAACAAGGCTCAACACATGAGCCGGCACGAGTAATTGGAAGGAGATGAGAGGATGAGAAAGAAGAGAAAGAGAAAAGGGAGATTGAGTTCCAAAAAATTAAATACAAGGGCGCTCAAGAAAGCAAGCGAACGATAAGTTAATGAATACCTCACTGAATACCGCGGACGATTCGGGACCGTGGCGGGAAACTCGCCTCGCACCCGATATCGCCCTTCAATTCCTCCCCGCAATCCACGATAAGCAAAGCTCCCCCCGATAAGCTTTCATTTCCCGCGGGAAAGTCGCGTCGTATCTCTCTCTCTCTCTCGCTCTCTCCTTCTCCTCCGCCATCTTCTGATTCCATCCGGGCCATTTGGTGACAATTCGAGGTTTCAAGGCTGGAACTTCAGAAATATCTTTGTCAAACAACCCCGTGAACATTGCTGTTCAACTACTACTCACGTACAAAGCTAGAAAAGCATGATTTCATCTCGAGATGTTTCCTCCGACTAATGATGCAATTGTTCCGAATCACTACGGAGACTTAGTATGTGCTCATACACAGTAGGTGGCCAATTTTCATAGTCCCACCTCAACCCGCAGCTCCCAGCTCCCAGCTCAAGACATGATGATCATCAAGCTGAAGGTGGTGGCAACAGTAGCTGGCTGTAGGTGTACTGTAGAATATGGGAACATCTCGTTCAAGCTCGCATTGGAGGGCATATGCTCTGTCTCCTCGGGACCAAGTTCCTGATAGTGCAAGTGCCCCTTGTCTCCGTGTTAGCCTCAGGCCATAATCAGGCACACGTTTAGCACGTGGGGTACAATCACATAATCACATGATAGTCGCTTATCATTTGCAAGGTTTGCACTCCCCACGGATTGCCTTCCCAATTGAGCCTTTCTCAAGGAAGATTTTCTCCCCCTCGGTCAGACAGGTCGTTGCGACAAACACCTCAGCTCGTTCGTTTCCTTGCCTTTCTCGCATTTTCTCACAGATCTGTTCTTTACTGGGGCCACGTGTTGTCAAAATGTCTCCCGTTCCGATCCCCCCGCCGTCCGACGACATCGCGACTCTTCTGCAGTCCGTCACGCCCCCGACGATGCCCCCGCACCGGTCGCACGACCCCTCCAACAACATGAAGCGCAGTGACCCCTTCCAGTTCGGCTCTCGGTACCTGGAGCAAGGAGATGATGTTTTCGAGTTCAACGCATGGGATCACGTGGAGCCCGATGACGAGTTCAAGGCATTCGCTGAGGAACAGTATGCCAAGCAGCGCGACGCTCCAGTATCGGAGTTCGACCGCAACCGCTTCAACGCCGACCCGGCCAAGTGGTGGAACCTCTTCTACAAGAACAACACGTCCAACTTCTTCAAGAACCGTAAATGGCTGCGCCAGGAATTCCCGGTTCTCGACGAAGTGACTCGGGCGAATGCGGGCAAGCAGGTCGTGTTGGAGGTCGGTGCAGGCGCCGGAAACACCGCTTTCCCGCTGTTGGAAAACAATGAAAATGAGGAGTTGATGGTCCATGCTTGTGACTTCTCCAAGACCGCCGTCCAGGTCATTCGTGACAGTCCTAAATACGACACCAAGCACATCACAGCGGACGTGTGGGATGTGAGTGCTACTGGGGACGATTCGCTGCCTCCGAATGTGGCAGAAGGATCGGTTGATGTCGTTGTGCTCATCTTCATCTTCTCTGCCTTGGCTCCCAATCAGTGGGAACAGGCTATCCGTAACATCTACCGCGTCCTGAAACCAGGTGGAAAGATTCTTTTCCGTGATTACGGACGAGGTGATCTCGCTCAGGTCCGATTCAAGAAGGGCCGGTACATGGGCGAGAACTTCTACATTCGGGGCGATGGTACGCGCGTGTATTTCTTTGACAGGGACGAGCTCGAGAAAATGTGGGGTCAGTGGACACCGGAGAAGGGACTGCCCAAGGGACTTGTGGCTGAGGCAGAGAGCACCGCCACTGACGAAGCCGCTGCTACTGAAGAGACAACCGCTAGCGAACAGCAAGGCGTCTTCGAAGTGATGAAGTTGGCTGTCGACAACCGACTGATCGTCAATCGTCAGCGCAAGATCAAGATGTATCGTTCCTGGATTCAGGGGCACTTTGTCAAGACAGTCAAAGCTACTGCTGCTGCCAGTGAGAAGAACGAGTTTTGATTGTGCATTTTAATCGACTAGAGTGTTACTACACCGCAACCTTAGCGAGATGGTGGCCATGTGATACAGTCATACCGCGCCCACCACATCGGCGTTCACCGTTAGATGAGCAGCTTGGTGGTTCATACTGAGATTCGTATTGTGAGTCACGGACTCTCGATACATATCGGCTCGCAGCCTATCGGGCTTTCCAAATGCTTCTATCAACCGCGCCAGGTGTGGTATTCGGTTCTCAGTGGTCATGAGATTCGCCTTACTCCAAGATTATTGGCTCCATGGCACCATGTCCGCGCGTGAGAGAATTTTTGTCGTTCTTTCAATTGGCATCACGACTTTTTCCATGGTGGATGCTATACTAAAGTATTCCATTCTCCAGTTCAGAACTGTACGAAGATACGACCGACACGATCAATCCATTAGATCTAGATTAGTTATATAGAGAGGAATAGAGCATCAAACCTGGTATTGGCTCAGCGAATACATTGTCCATGGTTTACATCAGACTTCAGCTTCCTCGCCGAGTTGATTAGTGCATATAGTGTTTTGTCTTAAGTCACACTGCACTGTAAACTGTGATTGACTTCGGTTCCTCGTCTTGTCGCCTTGTCAAACAGCTTTTATGTTGCGGGATGGAACCGAACTTGGCAATGGCCGGAACTTGAAGTATATATCTCGGAAATGATGACCGCTGAAGGCAGAGTACTTTGACACGCACCTGCCTAATTTTATGATGACATGCTGCATAGCATATGCTATAGGCTATATGACCGTGGGAAAAACCACAGAGACGCATTCCCAGAAAGTTGGTGATGATAGTGCAACCTCCTTGAAAATGCGACTCCTCGGTTATATGGCAGGGAGAAGGCTATTTGCAGGTGGCGGGTATTTGTATGCCGGGTTAGGATGATCTCCAATTACTTAAATCGGGCACGTCATTCCAACTATGCCACTTGCTGTCACCTTAAATTGTTTTTGCTAACAGACAAGGTACACAGTCAAATTTCAACTTCAATTCACAATGTCTCGTATGAATGGGTTAGCCCGAAGACTCTATCTTGGCAGGGACCTGCGAGGATCCCTCCTCCGACGTCCAGCCCGCTGCGGCTTCTCCACTACTGCCACACGCCCGTTGATGGAACTGACTGGCTTTACGGAGAACCAACTGACCGTCCGAGATGCCGTATCGGCCGTCTGCGCCAAATTCCCCAACACTTACTGGCAAGAGTGTGATCAGAACGAGCGCGATCCAAAGGAGTTTCACGCCGCCCTCGCTCAGGACGGATGGCTAGGCATTGCGCTACCAGAGGAACTGGGGGGTGCTGGACTCGGTATGGAGAGTTGCTTTTCTACCTTTGGCTGATGGTTTTGTTTTACTAACAAAGGGTTGGACAGGCATTTCGGAGGCAACGATGATGATGCAGACCATTACTCAATCGGGCGCAGGTATGGCCGGCGCCCAGGCCATCCACGCTAACGTGTATGCGACACAACCGCTGGCTCGGTTCGGTACGCGGGAGCAGCTGGAGGAGACGATCCCCAAGATCATCAACGGCACGTGGCGGACGTGTTTCGGTGTGACGGAGCCGAACACGGGTCTGGAGACGCTGAAGCTGAAGACGCTGGCGACCAAGATCCCCTCTCGTGATGCCTACTCGGTGACCGGGCAGAAGATCTGGATCACCTGTGCGCAGGTGGCCGCGAAGATGATCCTTCTAGCGCGGACTACACCGCTGGAGGAGGTGACCAAGCCGACGCAGGGCCTGTCGCTATTCTGCATTGACCTGGACCGCAATCAGTCCGGTCTGGACATGCGCAAGATCAAGAAGATGGGTGGCCGCGCGGTGGACGCTAACGAGGTGTTCTTCGACCAGTATACCATCCCGGCGAAGACGCTGATCGGGCAGGAGAATGACGGGTTCCGCATCATCCTGCACGGCATGAACGCGGAACGGTGTCTGCTGGCCGGCGAGGCCCTGGGATTGGGCTACGCGGCGCTGGAGCGCGCAGCGCAGTACGCCCAGGAGCGAGTCGTCTTTGGCCGGCCGATCGGGCAGAACCAGGGCATCGCGCACCCGCTGGCGGATGCGTACATGAAGCTCGAGGCGGCCAAGCTGGCCACCTACCATGCGGCGCGTCTCTACGATGCATCGCACCAGGACGAGAGCATCCCCGCGCACTCGGTGGGTGTGGCCTGCAACAGTGCGAAGTACCTGGCGGCCGAAGCGGCCTTTACCGCGTGTGAGCGGGCGGTGCTCAGCCACGGTGGAATGGGTTACGCGATGGAGTACGACGTGGAGCGCTACCTACGCGAGTGTCTAGTTCCTCGAATCGCACCGATCAGTCGGGAAATGATCTTGAACTACGTGAGCGAGAAGGTTTTGCAGCTGCCTCGGAGTTATTGAGGGGGGGGGGGGGTGGGCAAAAAGATTGAGTTTGTTTACAGTACTTATCAGACATATCATAAATTGACGACACGAGAAGGGCTTTGGCCTTTGTGCGGTAACAGGGCCTAGATTTTGTTGTTGCAGGATCTGGCCTGGAGATCGTCGTTTTTTTTGGTTGCTGTCACGCAGTGTTTGCTGCTCTCGGATGCGACGCATTGCAGGCATAGTCCTGTTTCCGGCAGTTTGAATAGAAAGCGTTCTCCCAATCGCAGCACTGATTGGTACTAGAACAGAAAAAAAGCAAAAAATGGCGCATAAAAAAAATTCGAGCTCTCCACTTCTGGAGACAATGGTAGAAAAACTGTCGGGGCGTTCAGGGAATCTGGAACTAAACTCAGGAACGCACGGTGAGAAAGGCGTTCGAAGAACCAGGGAATTTGCCTGCCATTTGCGGCATTTTCTCCTCCTCCGGTCCTGCTCCGTAAACGATTTTGTCCTTGTTGACGACGGACTCAGCCAGGTATCTACAGTTGGAAAGAAAATCAAAACAATTTCTTTTTCTGCGAGGATGCATTAGTGGAAATTGAGAAAAAGCAAACATACTCAGCTACTTAAAAACAAAAACAAAATGATACAGCAAGGCAGTGATTCGTCAATTGCGGTTGAAGATTGATCCATGGCGGCGGCGGCGACCTCCATTTTATTATTTTATTTTCTTGTTGATTTTATTATCTCTTGATTGATCTAATTTAATTTTTCGGTCTGGGGTCGGCTGTTCCGCCCTTCTTGTCATAGATTGCTTTGCATTGTTCCTTCCGACTTCTACAATACTCCATCATCCATCCATCCATCCATCCATCCATCCTCCTCCTCCCCAATCTTCAACTAAACTAAACTCATCTTGTCCCGGCCTGACTTTCCCCGTTATTCACTAAACAATGCTTAACTTGCTCCATTTGCCCCGACTAGCTGCTATCGTGGGTCTTTGACCTACAGCAGTTCCGCTCTGGCCCTGCGCCTTTTTCTCTCTCTGCCCCCCTTCTTCTCCCCTCGTCGTCACCGATCGGCAGGCAACCGCAGATTCCCATTCCAACCCTCACTCCCCCCCCCCTCATCCTTTCTTCCCCTCCTCCTGCCTTGTTGTCTCTTGGATCTTCTAGATTACCTCCGAATTTCTTGACATCTTGACTGACGATCACCCCCTCTGATCCGTTTACTTTCCTTTGACGGAGCGAGCTCCGTGCGGTCACACCGCAGGATGTTTTACTCCACCTTGCGATGGGCGAATACCGTCACCTCGCGCATTCCCTGGGTGAAGAATTTGCGCCTGAACTATATTCTCATCCATTATATGTACATCTTCGCTACAATAATCCTCACCTCGGTCATCATCTACCCCGGTACCAGTCTCGCCTACATCGATGCCATCTTTCTCTCCACTAGTGCATCTACCCAGAGCGGCCTCAACACTGTCGACCTGAATACTCTGTACACCTACCAGCAGGTATTCTTGTACGTGGCGTCTATGCTGACTACCCCCATCTTTATCAACACCGTCCTCGTCTTTGTCCGGCTTTACTGGTTCGAAAAACGCTTCCAGCACGTCGTCCGCGATGCTCGAGCCCTTCGCTACACTCGCTCTCGCCAACGCACTGTGACTGACGACAAGAATGGGGCGAGCTATGATCGAGAGGAAGCGGGCGTGGGAAACCGGCCTATCGTGGTGCTGCGGAATACGTTAGGTCGGGTCCGTTCGCGAGGTCACAGTATCAAGTCTCCCGAGGAGAACAGTTCGCCACCGGAATCGCCAACCACTCGACGAAATGTTGAGAACAATGCGGAAGATGCAGAGGCGACATTCGCGCGGAAGCTAGCGTTTGGGCTGGGAAATGGGGTGGGGAGTCTGCGCGTGCCCGCGCAACTCAGTCCCGAACACCACATCGCATTCTTGGAAAACCAGCGGAGGAATAAAGGAGCCTTGCGGATCCCCAGTCCTCGGGAGTATGATCGGGGTGGTGTGCCGCAGGTGCTGGAAGAAGACGAGAATGTGGAAGCCCCCGCTAAACCCACGGCGAACGACTCCAACGAAGAACGGAGTCCGGGTGATACCAGGGATGGATCCGAGGAGGATGAAGAGGAGGGCAGGAACAAGGATGGGGACGAGGAAGATGATGCTCGGTCCCGCCGGATGGACGGTCCTCATATCACGATCAACGAGCCCGAGATGTTTCGCACGCGGACGAGGAACGAGACTTTTCCCCGCATGGACTCGCGCCCGACATTCAAGGAGACGAAGGAAGATCCGGATATTTCACCACTAGCCAGATCTACAACACGGCGACCCACGTTCAGCAGTGTCTTCCGATCCCTCACACAGGAGCGGGAGCGGCCTACGCAGCCTTATCTGAGTTGGAATGCGACTGTCGCTCGTAATTCCAACTTCGTCGATTTGACTGAGGAACAACGAGACGAGTTGGGTGGTATCGAATACCGTGCACTGAAGACCTTGGCGGTAGTGCTAATCTCCTACTATGTGCTGTTCCACCTTTTGGGCATAATTTGCATGGTCCCATGGATCATGACTACTCACTGGGGATCGGTGGTCGAGCAGGATGGCCAGGGCCGTCCTTGGTGGGCCATCTTCGTGGCCCAGTCGGCCTTTAACGATGTGGGCTTCACTCTTACCCCAGACTCGATGGCATCCTTCCAAGGGGCCATCTTCCCACTGTTACTTCTGGGCTTTCTGGTTGTCATCGGAAACACCGGGTTTCCGTGTATGCTGCGGTTCATCATCTGGGTCTCGTCCAAGGTCGTCCGTGCGGAAACACCCTTGTGGGAAGAATTGCGCTTTCTCCTCGATCATCCCCGGCGATGCTTCACCCTCCTCTTTCCCCGGAATGCTACTTGGTGGCTCTTTGCGATTTTGGTGCTGCTGAACGGAATCGACCTGGTCTTCTTCATCATTCTTGATGTGAGTTGTCACTTCCACTCAATATTGAATTACACTAACAAGTGCGCTAGCTGAACGACTCGACTGTTACGTCCTTGTCGCCAGGTCTTCGGATCCTTGATGGTCTATTCCAGGCAATCTGCACGCGTACCGCTGGTTTTACGGTTGTTTCGATCTCCGACCTGCACCCCGCGGTACAGGTGTCGTACATGATCATGATGTATATATCCGTGTTTCCAATCGCCATCTCCCTGCGACGCACCAACGTCTACGAGGAGAAGAGTCTAGGGATTTATGGCAATGGGGACGAAGATGAGAGTGATGATACCCAGCAGACGGCACCCAGCTACATCGGTGCTCACTTGCGGAAGCAGCTGAGTTTCGACCTGTGGTATGTATTCCTGGGGCTTTTCATAATCACCATCGTCGAAGGCGGGCGCCTCGAGGCGCAGGATGACTACTCGTTTCAAATCTGGTCAGTGCTGTTTGAGGTTGTGTCCGCGTACGGCACTGTGGGCATGTCCTTGGGATATCCCGGGATCAACGCCTCTTTCTCCGCCGAATTTCACGTGCTTTCCAAACTGGTCATTATGGCCATGCAAATCCGCGGCCGGCACAGAGGTCTGCCGTACGCGTTGGACCGCGCCATTTTGCTACCTTCGGAATCGCTTAACCAGAACGAAATCGCCGACGCGGAGAAGCGTATGCGTCGCCGTGCCTCGAGTCTCAGCCAGATGTCAATCGACCGTGACCGCGATCAAACCCAGCCACGGAATCCGCCGGAGCAGAGCGCCACCACGGGCCATGATCCCCGGGATCATTACCCTCGGCACTCGATGCAGGGCGACGGAATCATCCGCCGACACTCAACTCTGCGTTCCCAGCGATCTCAGCGTGTCTAAACCATTATCTCTAAACCATTATATATCGATGAAAACTTATCATCTGTTCCAAGATATTGTTGGTCCTTATTGAAAGCGATGTGAGCAGGATCCAGCAGTCTTTCTATCGAGCGTCATTCTTAGCGTGTCACTTTTCTTTGTAAGAGAGCGTGTCGAACTTTTCGACTTCTTAATTTATACTCCATGTCGTTTACGGTGTTCCTAAAGCAAATGGCGGGGTTTGTACATAACAACTATACGTACACACGATTTCGCTGGGATTGGTGGGAGGGATTGGGCACAGCAGGCTGTGTTTTGAAGACTCCAACCTGTTTGCATCGTTTCCTTTCTGGATGGACATATCTATGAAGCAATGGGAGGTATATACACCTACCTACCCTTTTGGTCTTTCTAAACAAGAAAAGAAAGGAAGAAAGCCAGTCCAATCAATATTCCTGCATCAATGTGTTGAATCCTGTATATTCTTTGATTCTAATGCCTTTCCAGCCAGCTCTACTATACACGCACGGACACTATAAAGACTTATCGCAAGGTGACCAACTCCTCCGCACTGGTGGGGTGAATGGCGACGCAGCTATCAAAGTCCTTCTTGGTGGCGCCCATCTTGACGGCGACGCCGAAACCCTGGAGCATCTCGCCGCAGCCCAGACCCAAGATGTGCAGACCCACAACCTTCTCCTCGGGGCCGGCGCAGATGAGCTTGAACTCGGTGGGGTTCTGCTTCTTCTCCTCGGCCGGGTACAGGTCGTAGTACATCGCGGTGAAGCGGGTGTGGTAGACCTTGATCTGGTCGTCGCCGTACTTCTGGCGGGCCTCGGGCTCGGTGAGACCCACGGTGCCGACCTCGGGGTGGGAGAAGACCACGGTGGGGATGTTGTCGTAGGAGAGCTTGGCGGTCTTGAACTCGGGGCCGCCGAAGAGGCGGTTGCCGAGCTGGCGGCCGGCGGCGATGGCGACTGTTGGAGTGTTAGTTTGCTTTTGTCTTTTTTTTTTTCTAGGGGGTTGAAAACATACCAGGGGTCAGCTCGGCCTGGCCGGTGACATCACCGATGGCATAGACACCGTCGACGCTGGTGTTCTGGAACTCGTCGACGACGATGTGGCCGTTGGTGTTCAGCTTGACGCCGGGGATGTCCAGGTGCAGGTCCTCGACCTCGGGGACGCGGCCGACGGCCCACAGCAGCTCGTTGACCTCGGTCTCAGAGCCGTCGTGGTGGATCAGCTTGAGCAGCTTGTCCTTGCCCTTGCCGTCGCGGAGGAGCTGGACCTCCTTGAAGCCCTGGTGGCCCTTGTGGACGTGGATGCCGACGGACTCGTAGCGCTCGGTCATGGTCTTGGAGATCATCGGGTCGAACTTGCGCAGGAACTCCTGGCCGCGGATGTACATGTGGGTCTCGACGCCCACGGCGCCCATCACGCCCGCCAGCTCCACGGCGATGTACCCGGCGCCCACGACGGCGACCTTGGGCGGCAGCTCCTCGATCTCGAAGAACCCGTCGCTGGTGATGCCGTGCTCGGCGCCCTTGATGTCCGGGATGCTGGGCCGCCCGCCCGTCGCGATCAGGATGTGCGGCGCCGTGTACCGCGCCTTGCTGCCGTCCTCCAGCGTCACCTCGATCACCTTGGGCTCCACGAAGCCCGCCCGCCCGTGCACCAGGTCGATCCCCTCGCGGCCCCAGTTGCGCTCGTAGATCCCGTTCAGCCGCTGGATCGTCGCGTCGCGCCGCTCCTTGAAGTACTTGTAGTCGATCTTCACCTCCTCCGGCACCGTGTAGCCGTAGTGCTTCGCCGCGTGCAGGTTCTCGTTGACCGAGGCGAAGTTCCAGGTCATCTTCTTGGGGACACAGCTGGAGATTTGGAGCAGATCATTAGCTCTGAGATTGGAACGGACAAGTGGGCATAACTTAAAAGACTCACCCAACGTTGACACAGGTACCGCCGGAGCGTCCACTCTCCACGATCAGGGTCTTCGCGCCGTACCAGCCGGCGGCGCGACGGCCGCTGCCACTGCCACCACTTCCACCGCCCAGGACGATGTAGTCGTACTGCTGAACCTCAACGGGAGCCATGGTGTTGGAGTCGGCTGCAGCACCGGTCGAGAAGAATTGCCGGGTAAGAGAGGTGAGACGTGCGATGGGGGTCAGGGTAGGTCGCTGAATGGTAGCCAGCACGTTTCGGCGACTGACGACGGCGTTCGGGTGGGAAGCTGTGGTGATGCTTTGGCTGCCGGGTTTGGGCAGAGAAACAACAGCGATCTGAGATGAACGGACGAACGAAGATGAGCCGTGGGAGAGCCGGTTCTTAAGTACCTGAGCTGAGAGGGAACGGAGAGAAGAACAGGTGCGCATTGGGAGGAGGAGTAGGAGAAAGAAGGAGAGGAAGAAGAGGGGGGGGGGAAGAAGTTGAGGTCAGACGCCGAGGTGGAGGGGCAGAAATGGCACTGGCACTGGGACTGGGACTGGGTGGGGGGAAGGCCGGCAAAGACCGAGAGATCAACGGGGCTGTAGCTCTAGTAGTCTATGATTCGTATGTGATCACCAATCAGCAAGACACTCGGGCAATTGACAGAGATATCGCGATAGTAGAAAGTAAGGTATACGAAAAGGCTGCTGGGGGGATGACAATTGGACCATTCAGAATTGTTCTGACGCCATCTGAGCTGCATTAAAACCGGACGGAGGCAATCAAAGCCCCAGTAATTCCCCGACTATCGGCACGGTGCCAATTAGGTAAGCAGATTTTTATCCGGATTATCAATCCACACTGAGCAAGTCAGTCAATTAAACATCAGACTGGTCTGGAATCTGTCCGTCTTTCATCGGCTCTGCACCGGACTAGCACAGACCACTACCACAAATCCAGATCACAGGTAGCCAGTGATTATCCCGTGGCAGTGAGATTTCACTTCTCTGCTATCTCACTGTGTAGATACAGTAGACTCGGCTCACCGCCCGGCTCTATAGCGACGCAAGGCGGTGGCCATTCTGCCGGGTACTTCCGTCATCGCCCACCAGCCCGGCTCATTTCTCTAACCACTCTCCACTCACCACTCACTCTCACTCTCACCTTTTTTTTTGAGTTCGGAGTGCTGGAAGCTCGTTACTAATTAGCGCCTCACTTATCAAAATGGACGGCACTGGATCTGTTGAGTCGCAATGGCTCACTCAGCTGGCAGCCATGCGCCAGGCCATCGCCGATCTGAAGCTTCCCTCAGACCCCGCCAAGGAACCCAGTTACGGAAGTGACCTGGAGCTGGATTTTGAAGATGACTATTCATCGCCCGGAACTATCGACGACGACATCTGGGATATCATCAGCTCAGATGATGAATCCAGCGAGGGATATGATGACTTTGATGACCTCCCATCCGCCCCGCTAACATCGGCATACGACCAGACATGGCTCGAGCAGAAGTGCCAAAGCTTGGCCTCCAACAAACCCGGTCTCGAGGCACACGACATTGCACAGCAGATCACAGCTGCGCTGGCCACCGATAGTGGAGATGACGAACTTCAGATGTCGCTGGCCGAAATCGTCGGATTCGACGATCTGGATTTTGTCATCGACTTGATCGCCCACAGATCGGAGATCATCGCAAATGCGCACTCCCATGCACGCACAGAGGCCCAGACAGATGGTCTATTCTCTGGTAGACTTCAAACCAGGGCGGAGCGCGAGCAAGCTCTACGGCAGCAGGACTACGAGCATAAGCATGCGCCGCTGTTGGAGGCACAGACCAGGACTGAACCGCATTATCCTCATGTTTTCAAGATGCACGAATCCAGAAACGTGCTTTCCCTTGGAGGGAAGAGGTATGGGCTGCCGATGGGTAGTAAGCAAATCGAAGAAAAGAAGTACACCGAGATCGAAGTCCCAGCGTCCAAGACGGGCGGCTTGTTTCCCGGTCAGAAGCTGGTGCCAATAGCATCCATGGATGGTCTTTGCCAAGGCACCTTCAGAGGATACAAGACCTTGAATCGCATGCAGAGTCTGCTCTACGATGTTGCTTATAAGACGAATGAAAATATGCTCATTTGTGCCCCTACTGGTGCTGGTAAAACAGATGCCGCAATGCTAACGATCCTGAACGCTATTGGCAAGAACACTATCCCTAACCCCATCGAGCAGCCAGATGCAACCGAGTTTGCGGTGCAGCTGGAGGACTTCAAGATCATTTATGTGGCCCCAATGAAGGCTTTGGCAGCTGAAGTCACGGAGAAGCTGGGGAAGAGACTCGCTTGGCTGAACATCAAGGTTCGCGAGCTGACGGGTGACATGCAGTTGACCAAGCGAGAGATTGTGGAGACTCAGATCATCGTCACTACTCCTGAAAAATGGGATGTGGTGACCCGAAAGAGCACGGGCGACACGGAACTTGTACAGAAGGTGCGCCTGCTTATCATTGACGAGGTCCACATGCTCCATGACGAGCGTGGTGCCGTCATCGAGTCCTTAGTAGCACGTACACAGCGTCAAGTGGAAAGCACACAGTCTCTCATTCGCATTGTTGGTCTGTCCGCTACGCTGCCCAACTATATCGATGTTGCAGACTTTCTCAAAGTCAACAAAATGGCTGGTCTGTTCTACTTCGATGGATCCTTCCGCCCTGTACCACTAGAGCAACACTTTATTGGTGTTAAAGGGAAGCCTGGCTCTAAGCAGTCGCGTGAGAATATCGATGTCGTAGCCTTTGAGAAGGTCCGCGATATGCTTGAGAGAGGACATCAGGTCATGGTGTTTGTTCATTCACGAAAGGATACTGTCCTAACTGCTCGGATGCTTCGCCAGATGGCCAGTGAGGATGGTTGTGAAGGCCTCTTTAGCTGTCAAGAAGAAGAAGGGTACTCCAACGGCTTGGCAGATGTGAAACGCAGTCGGGCTCGCGAGCTGCGTGAATTGTTCGCGGGTGGACTTGGAACCCATCATGCTGGAATGAGTCGCAGTGACCGTAACCTGATGGAGCGTCTATTTTCTGAAGGACTAATCAAGGTACTTTGTTGTACTGCGACACTCGCGTGGGGTGTCAACCTTCCCGCCGCGGCGGTTGTCATCAAGGGTACCCAGCTCTACAATCCCCAGGAGGGTAAATTTGTCGACCTGGGTATCCTCGACGTATTGCAGATCTTTGGTCGTGCTGGTCGTCCCCAATTCCAGGACACTGGTATTGGGTTCATCTGTACCACCCACGATAAACTGAACCACTACATCTCCGCAGTAACGTCGCAGCAGCCGATCGAATCCAGGTTCTCGAGTCGCCTCGTGGACAACCTGAATGCGGAAATCTCACTCGGCACGGTCACTTCAGTCGCAGAAGCTGTGCAATGGCTTGGATATTCGTATCTGTTTGTTCGCATGCTGCGCGAGCCCCGGAATTATGGTATCGACTGGGCCGAGATTCGCGACGATCCGATGCTGGTCCAGAGACGTCGTCAGCTAATCATACAAGCGGCACTTGTCCTGCAAAAGAGCCAAATGATCATATACAATGAGAAGACGGAGGATCTTAAAGCCAAGGACGTGGGCCGCATAGCAAGCCAGTATTATGTTCTACAGACAAGTATTGAAATCTTCAACAACTTGATGCGACCACGTGCAACTGAAGCCGATGTGCTAAGCATGATTAGCATGAGCGGTGAGTTCGATAACATACAGGCACGCGAGAGCGAGTCAAAAGAACTCAACAGGCTACGAGACGAGGCTATCCAGACTGAAGTAGAGGGTGGAAACGACTCACCCCATGCAAAGACCAACATTTTGCTTCAGTCATACATTTCCCGTGCTAGAATCGAGGACTTCGCTCTGGTGTCGGATACCGGCTATGTGGCGCAAAATGCTGCTCGTATCTGCCGTGCTCTGTTCATGATAGCCCTGAATAGACGCTGGGGTTACCAATGCCAAGTGCTTTTGTCGATGTGTAAATCGATCGAAAAGCAGATGTGGCCTTTTGACCACCCGTTCCATCAATTTGACCTGCCTCAACCAATTCTTAGAAATTTGGATGAGAAGCTTCCAACCTCAGCTATTGAATCTTTGAGAGATATGGAAACGGCCGAAATCGGACAGCTGGTCCACAATCATAAGATGGGTAGAACGCTCGCAAAGTTACTGGACAACTTCCCTACGCTAAGCGTCGAAGCCGAGATTGCACCACTGAATCGTGATGTCTTGCGGATTCGTCTTTTGCTCTACCCAGAGTTCAGCTGGAATGACAGACATCATGGAGCCTCGGAATCGTACTGGATCTGGGTGGAGAACTCGGAAACATCCGAGATTTACCACCACGAGTACTTCATTCTGAGCCGGAAGAAGTTGCATGATGAGCACGAGTTGAACTTCACAATTCCACTGTCCGATCCGTTGCCTAGCCAGATCTATGTCCGCGCGATCTCGGATCGATGGCTGGGTGCTGAGACGGTCACACCGGTGTCGTTCCAGCATCTCATTCGCCCCGATACCGAGAGTGTGTACACCGATCTACTCAATCTTCAGCCATTGCCTATCTCTGCCTTGAAGAACCCGATTTTGGAAGAGCTCTACGGACAACGCTTCCAGTTCTTCAACCCTATGCAAACCCAAATCTTCCATCTCTTATATCACACCCCAGCCAATGTTTTGTTAGGCTCGCCTACAGGCAGTGGGAAAACGGTTGCCGCAGAGCTGGCTATGTGGTGGGCGTTTAGAGAAAAGCCCGGCTCCAAGGTCGTGTATATTGCGCCCATGAAAGCGCTTGTGCGTGAGCGAGTTCAGGACTGGAAGAAGCGTCTCACGGCGCCTATGGGTCTCAAGCTGGTAGAGTTGACCGGAGATAACACTCCTGATACTCGGACAATCCGAGACGCGGACATCATCATCACAACTCCCGAGAAATGGGACGGTATCTCGCGTAGTTGGCAGACCAGAGACTACGTGCGGAAGGTGAGCTTGGTGATCATCGACGAGATCCACTTGCTTGGCGGTGATCGAGGACCTATTCTCGAAATTATCGTGTCTCGAATGAACTACATTGCTTCTCAGTCCAAGGGCTCTGTGCGGTTGATGGGTATGTCCACTGCTTGTGCAAACGCTAGCGATCTCGCGAATTGGCTAGGCGTCAAGGAAGGTCTTTATAATTTCCGCCATTCAGTGCGCCCTGTGCCTCTGGAGATTTACATCGATGGATTCCCTGAGCAGCGTGGCTTCTGTCCTCTCATGCAGTCGATGAACAGGCCGACATTCCTTGCCATCAAGAATCACTCGCCTGACAAGCCGGTCATCGTGTTTGTCGCTTCTCGTCGACAGACCCGTCTCACTGCTAAGGATCTGATCAACTACTGTGGTATGGAAGATAATCCTCGGCGATTTGTCCGTATGTCGGAAGAAGATCTGCAATTAAACCTTACTCGGGTCAAGGATGACGCTTTACGAGAGGCACTTAGCTTCGGAATCGGTCTGCACCATGCTGGTCTGGTTGAATCTGACAGACAACTAGCCGAGGAGCTTTTCGCAAACAACAAGATCCAGATTCTGGTGGCGACAAGTACTCTTGCATGGGGTGTCAACTTGCCTGCGCATCTAGTCGTCGTAAAGGGCACCCAGTTCTTCGATGCCAAGATCGAAGGCTACAGGGACATGGACCTGACGGATGTGTTGCAAATGCTGGGTCGTGCAGGACGTCCGCAGTTCGACACATCTGGCATTGCCCGCATCTTTACGCAGGACGCAAAGAAAGCCTTTTATAAGCACTTTCTGCATACCGGATTCCCTGTCGAATCGACTCTGCATAAGGTTCTCGACAACCACTTGGGCGCTGAAGTGTCCGCGGGAACCATCACCACGAAACAGGATGCTCTGGACTACCTAACCTGGACGTTCTTCTTCCGACGTCTTCACAAGAACCCATCGTACTACGGGCTCGAGATCTCGGCTGAGGAGCACAACACCATGGCTGCTCAAGCTATAGCGCAAGAGTTTATGATCGACCTGGTCGATCAGTCCCTTAGCGAGCTCGCCGAATCATCTTGTGTCGCCTTTGACTCGGCCACTGGCGACGTTGACCCCACTCCCTTTGGCAAGATCATGAGTTATTACTACCTCTCGCACAAGACTATCCGCTACTTGATGTTGCATGCCAAACCCAACCCCACCTTCCACGATGTCCTGAGTTGGATGTGCTCCGCCAGCGAATTCGACGAGCTTCCCGTCCGGCACAACGAAGACCTGATCAATGCCGAATTGGCGAATCACCTACCCCTCTCCGTCGACTCGATGGGCGACTTGCCTCTCTGGGACCCCCATGTGAAAGCCTTTCTCCTCTTGCAGGCGTACATGTCGCGCATCGACCTTCCAATCTCCGATTATGTCGGTGATCAGACCTCCGTCCTCGACCAGGGCATCCGTATCATTCAGGCCTCGATCGACGTCATGGCCGAATTGGGCTACCCGCAGGCGTGCCAGATGTTCATGAGCCTCCTCCAGAGCATCAAATCCGCCCGCTGGCCCGAGGACTCGGCCTTGTCGATCCTGCCCGGTGTCGATATCACCAATCCCACCGAGTCCAAGGACGGCAAGAACAGCAGCAGCAGCCTCCTCCCGCCCACACTCGCTGCTCTCGCCGCCCTCCCCACCGGCGCCATCTCCTCGCTCGCGCGCAAGCTCACTCTCTCCGCATCGCAAGCCCAGTTCGCCAAGGCCGCAGCCTACCTCCCCAACCTCGCCGTCTCCATCGCCACCATCACGCCCCGCGGGATCACCGTCTCCATCGTCCGCAAAAATGCCCCCATGGACCGCGACTGCCGGGTCTACGCCCCGCGCTTCCCCAAGCCCCAAACCGAGGGATACTTCCTGCTCATCTACAGCGCGAAGCCCGATGGCCAGGACGGGGAGCTGCTAGCCTTGAAACGTGTCTCATGGCAGACCGGTCCGCGCGGAAAGAGGAATGGTCACAACAGCAACACCAGTGGCCGTGGCGCTGCTGGCCCCTCTGCTAACAGTAGCAGCGGCAGCATTGCCAAGAAACCCAATGAGCGGCAGCAGCAGCAGCAGCAGCAGCAACTCACAGTTCGGTCCTCGGCCAAGTTCCCGGAAAACCCCGCCGCGCCTAGCACCAAGCAGGTCAACGTGCGCGTGATTAGCGATTCGTACCCGGGCATGGAATGGACGGTGACCCGGGTGGAGGTTCCGACTAGTGCTGCCGCCGCCACGGGAGCTGAAACGCAGAGTGTGCCGGAATCCACTATCCCTGAGAAGGGCCAAGAGATGATCCCTTAGTCTTTGTTTTGTTTTCTGTACATACTTTCTTAGATCTACAGGATTTTTTGTTTCTCAACTTTGGGAAAAATCGGTCGGGGTGATACAGTAGATGCTTGGGAACAGAATCTTGAACATGACTAGAGTTTCAAGTGTTGTTTTGCTTTAATTTGGGAGGTGTTTCTTGGTTTGTTTGCGTGAAACGCGAGAGCATAAGATTTTCGGATTTGTAAATCAAGTCTAATTTGAGAAGGCTAGGGTCTCGGACCGTGCCTTGGACTGGATACCGAGGTGGGGGTATTTGGGAAATAGGGATAAAAATAAATACATGAAGATGGGCGACTGGTCGAACCCCAGCATGACTGAAAAGGGCAGATATCGATCTGACAAAAGTAAGAAATGGGATATGTCACATAAAAATGGATGGAAGGAAGCTATCAAAGCATAATAGTATATGCTACCTGCGCTCGTAAAGGAAGGCCGGCTAAGAAATAAAAAAGAGAGAAGTCATCGAGCCAACCAAATAAGGAAGATAGATCAAGAGTGTGACATAGGATCGTAAGAATGGACTAAAGTAAAGCTCGAATGGAGAGAAAACATCAAATGAAGTTGCCGACACGGACGGTTCGAGTAGATCCAGGTCTAGGGCTCAGGTCTCCACCGTCTCGAAGGCGAGGCGGCGGACGAGCGATCCTGGTTTCCACGACCCGATCCGTGGCGGTGGTGTTGGCGCGGTCTAGCCGGGGACGGATGGGGACGATCATTTGCTTCTTGCCCCTGGAGACGGAGACGGATCGAGCGATGGAGATCTCCTTGCCCCTGGAGACGGAGACGGATCGAGCAATGGAGATTTCCACAGTGGGGAGAGGCTTGTTCAGGTCTGACGTGCTGGCGTTCTTCCTCTCGTCGCCGAGTGGGAATCGTCGGGCTGCGATTGGGGTAGTGGTGGCGCTGGTGGTGCTGGTGCTGGCGTGGCTGACTGTGGGAGACCGCGCTAGATGGTTGGTTCTGCTGCGAGGTGTGTTGGGCGACTTGGCGGATGAGACGAAAGAAAAGGGCGATGACGCTTCGCTGCGGCAATCAGCAGAAGTCCTGATGGGCGGCACTTGCGTGTTGATCGTCAGGGTGGCAGGAGCCTTCGGCCGCGGGCTGGCAGGAGGGATAGGAGGCACAGGCTCGCTGGTGGTTGGGGACTTCTTGTTGATGATCTCCCATTCGGGCTCTCGCTCATCAACGTAGCTGCGCACCGGCTTGAGTTTCTGCAGGAGGAGTCTTTCGTCCTCGGAGCTGATAGATGTTGCTGATAGGAACGATGACACGGAGCTCTGTTGCTTGTGCGAGGACGGGGAACTGTGCACCATAAGAACGAGATGGCTCTTATCCTTAGACACATCCTCTCGATGAGACTCGGCTGATGATGTCTGAGACTTGTGTAATGGGCTAGGGCCACGGGGTATGTTCTGCGATCCCAGGACCTTCGAAGCCTTGCTGACTTGGGTGGCAGGAAACAGTAGGAAGTTCGGAGAATTAGACCGTGAACGCGTTGGTGAGGTCGCCCTTCGACGAGGAGGAACCATTTCTGGCGACGGAGGCGACGGTTGCTGAGAACGGTTGTTAGACGGATCACAGTTAGCAGACATGAGCAACTTACCTTCGCGTCTTCTGTGTCCGCATCATTCAGCGTCTTGCTCCGTCGGTTCAACGATGGGGGTCTGTTCTTCTGCAGAACTCCCCCAAACATAACACTGTACCGTTCCAGTTGGATATCAGGAATATCAATCTGGAGTAAGGGCATGAAGTTCGAGGATGCATTAACGGTCTGAGATGGCTCGTTCATGGCAGCCGTCTGTTCGTGCTTCAGGCCCGTAGGTTCCGGCGTTGGTTCCAGTTCCAGGGATGGCCAAGCTTCGATGGGGCTGGGTTGATCATCGGGCCTGGAGTCGGCCTTCTTATGGACATCCCCGGGTTTGGGCTCCTCCTCGAGTATGGGCTTCTCGTCAAGATTGGGGCTCTCCTCGAGAATCGGTTGGCGTCGGTTAATGGAGACTGCAGAAGCTGGCATTGGCCACTCAGGAGTCGGTTGGACATGATAGAAGGGTTGGTTAGGAACAGGTGCACTCAATGCACTCTTTGCTTTGAATAGTCCTCCGATTTTCTTCCATTTACTTGGTTTGCGCTGTAGCGATGGTCGCACTGGGGCCTCCGGAGGCCTCTCGAACTGTTGCTCTTGCGACATTGCCATTGGCACCTCGACCATGCGGGGGCTTCCTAGTGCGACACCAATCAAGCCGTCTGTTGGCGAGATGATTGGGCTCGTTGGCGAAGTCATGGCATTCGAAGGGGTTGCTGGGATCTGGAAATCAAAACCAGGATTGGCATCCTGCACATGCCTCTGCTGCTGCTCTGCCGTTTTTGGGCGTGCGGAGTCCTGAGGCAAGTTTGCGCTTGGTTCGTGACGTCCGGAATTCTTGCGCGGCCGCGCGTCTGCGTGCTTTTGAGCAGGCGAGGAACTAGCCACTGGCTGGCGCAATGTACGCGACCTTCCACGAAAGGTGCCTAGAGCCATGGTGAAAGCTTCGGTTGTAATAGGTTTCCCAGAAATCGAGGATGCTAGCGACGATACAAGGGATTTTGAATGGTCCGTGAGCGCCCTTTAGGTTGAATCAAGCAAGAGTAAAAGAGTGGAGGTGGTAATATAAACCGGCAAAGGAGTGACAGGTTAAAGAATGTCGGAGAAGAGAACTTCACGAACCAGTCATGAAGGCTTGCAAGTAAAAAGGAATGGACGGCCTTCCAGAAGGCCCGAAGCAGTACCACGAAATCGTCACGAAGCCGAAGATTCAGTCATGGCCGGGAGAAAAGGAGGGATGGAGGAGAAGCAGTAAGTTGAGGGAAAGAAAGAAGCGCCAGACAAAGCCGTTGTTCAGGGTGGAGCCTGAGGCCTACGGACGGCGCAACACCTAAACGAAACAAGCGGCAGGGGCTGGTTAGTGTCAGACTGTTTTGTTGGATCCATGGTCAGTCTAGATACTGAATGGGATTTGGACTGAGTAAGATCTGACGAAGCGCCAGAACCCAGTGACCAACGAGAGCGCTGGAAGTAAATTGTCTAGGAGGCGTTACAGGAGCTACGCGGGCGGAAAATGTGTGGCATCTGTGAGCGCCACGGAGGTGCTTATCGCGGGATCTGATTGATTGAGCGTTTGATTACGGCTTCATCCCATGGGCGAGAGGGATCGAGAGAACAAGCTTGGCAGACGCAGGGTTGAGTTCGCAGCTGGACATCGTCCTGGAGTTATTGAGATCTCGGAGCCAATAACATTGTGCCCATCCAGGAGATCTAAGATGCTGATACTTGCAGCAAAGGGGGGTTTGTCACAGATTTCGCGTGGGCGCTACAAGCGAAAGGAGACTGTTTCAGACCAATTCCGTGCTCTCTCGCACGTGCCGTTCGCTCCTGCACAACAGTGGGTATGACAGGCCATGATTGAGTTGTGTCATGTCCATGGGAAGACTATAAGTACGTACGACAGGAATGTCAGATGCAAGTCTGCAGCTGTCAGAGCAACTGACTGACTGACTGCCTGACTGACCAACAAACGGTTGTTCCGAGGGCTAATTTCCCTTGTTTCTGCATCTGACGTGGCCCGGTCCCATGACTAAGTCGATCATCTGTGAGGCTCCGTCAACGGGAGCGAATACGGTTCGTAACTCAAGAGAATAGTAGAGTTGCCGGAAGGCTGCAGAGTGCATAATGAAGAGTGCAGTTGATGTTCGACACATGACCTGGTCTCATGCATTTCGCCACTGCTCATTTGCAAGCCTGCGCTAAGGGGAAAAGTCTCAGTTCTTCGACATCTTTGCGCAGAGACAGAAGAGGCGGTAAGAGCATCGGTGGGACTGAACAGGGTCTAGCATTTGCAAAGGCAGGGAAGCTATTCCGAATTGCCTCGGATTATGGAGACCTGGTGTTGGTCCCTCCACCGCCCCAGGGCTCTCGTTGACAGCCAGCCTGAGTCGGATTCACGCAGGAAGCCTAAATAGATTAGATAGACAGACAGACAGACAGACAGCTCCAAACCACGGATCAGTCGCGGGTGTAAGAGAGGAATGACGTAGAGGGGGAGCATGAGGGGACAATCAGGGTTCGCACTATTGAGATAGTGAATAGAGGAGAAAGATTAAGCTGAGCAGTAGGAACTAGTGAGTAGTAGAACAAAACCCTATAGAGAACTATAGGAAACAAGAATGATTGAAGCAGTCAATCAGTCAATCAGTCTCATTTTAGTCTGATGGAGCTTGGCGGGGCACATTGAGAACAAGAGAACTGGAAGAGAGAGAGAGAGAGAAAGCGCGCGAGCGACCAACAGAAACCCCCACCTCATCATCTTCTTTTCTGACTAAACCCCCCCCCCCCTCTTCATCTCCTTTCCCCTCCTTTTCCTCAACCTCCTATCCATCAACTGCTGTACATTACATAGTAGTCAACTTATCATCTTTCCTGGTCCGACTTTTTTCCTTGGACGACCGCCTTCTACCCCCCCTTCCTAACTCTTTCTGCCTTGTGGGAACTTTCCTCCTTTCCTCCTTTCCGTTCTTCTCCCCGACCATCTCCGTCGTTTGTTTATCCCACCACTTCTATCACCACCGTCACCATGGGTCAGCACTCCGCTATCTGGCAAGGTATGCTCAAACGTTCCTCTCCATCAGGGATCTCTATCCTTGCATCTTGCTGCTCACTATAATCTCTGTATCCGATAACTAATTTCACTCTTGTTTTGATCAGGCTATGTCGATTCCAGGTATATACACCATCCCGCCTCTACCCCGCTTCAAATGCATCCCTATATCGCTCCAGCTCAGCATGTATCCTAACACAACCATCACCTTCCAGCTTGATGGGATCCGGCCAATTCGACAAGGCTGCCATCCTCGCCTATGACTTCTCCGATGTTGAGGCTTCGTCCCCCGGCTTCACGGTATGATATCACCGCCATCGGGTCGGCGCGCAGTCACCCATCCGGCCATATCCCCCGTCTTTACCGTATGGAACTCAGAGTTGACCGCGCTGTATAGATCGCTCCCCAGGAGCTGACCGGTCTCGCCGCCATCTTCAAGGACCCCAGCAGCGCCTTCGCCAATGGTATCATCGTCGGAGGAGAGAAGTTCGTTACCATCAAGGCTGACGAGCGCAGCGTGTACGGCAAGAAGGTACGCTTCCCTCTCCCTGTGCTCATCTTTGGATCTTCCCTCCAAACTCCTGATCCTCTCGCATGGGACCGTCATTTCCGCCCATATCCTAACAGGATGAACTAATCACAATCGAATCACAGGGCAAGGAGGGTATCGTCATCGTCAAGGCCAACTCCTGCGTCTTCGTCGCCCACCACGGCGAGGCCGTCCAGACCACCAACGCCGCCACCGTCGTCGAGAACCTCGCTGACTACATCAACAACCCCCGGTAGATGGGCCGGTGTATACACCTAATCAAAAAGTCTGTCGTTGGGGGGCGGGGGTGAGAAAGTCAAGGGGGAGCAGTGGTAATACTCTGAATGTAGAACACGGTGGTCTCCTTCTCGATTTTGTCTGTTCTTAATCTTCTCCTTTGTTATTTTTCTCCTGTTGTTATATGATATCAGCCACAACGCGTAGATATGTGCAAATATGTGCCACCTTTCATTCTCCTGAGATGATTCTGGTCTAGATGGATGATGCAACCTGTCAGAGCTCTTGCGACATTGTTAGTCCACTGTGCTCCAGGATATGTAATCATTACTTAAACGAATGTCTATATATCCAATAACCGGTCTGCAACGAATAAAAAAGAAAGAAACCACCCGAAGAGAGAATATTAACAATTACAACATCTAATAAACTCCAGCCAGTCACATATGCACCCCACCGAAAAATGACTTCCCTCCCTCTTCCGCAACCAAGTACAAGGGACGTATCCTTCACCACACCGCAACAAAAAGTACATGAACCAGTACATTCCACATTTCGTATTCCATGCGCATCATATAAGAAGTAAAAGTCGTAAGAACGGTAAGTAGGCAAGTCTCGTGTTATCGGTTCGTTTTACACGTTAACATTATATCACGCCTTAGTAGACGGGAGGGTTATGGGGGGGGGGGGGTTTCCGCTTCCAGTGCATGCATGAAACCGGGTTTACGCAAGACACATCCGCAAAAGTCGCTTGACACCTATTGAAGTAGGCTTTGACGACAGTAGACATCCCGCTTCAAGTTCTTCTCTTCTGGCGCACGGGAAAAAGGATGAGAGCCGGGGCAAGAAAGCTGAAAAGAACCCCGATTTCCAGGATATTATACCGGCAACTCGGCATTCCGCCGGCCGCCGGCCAGCGCCTCCAACGCCGTCCTGATGTACGGCCCCACGACGGGGATGTTCCCCGCGAACTGGCCAATGGTCACCAGGAAGTCGCCGAAGAGGATGAACAGCCCGTACAGCTCGATGATGAAGCCCGTGAGCGGCCAGCGGAGGAGGATGAGCAGGATGCCGGCGACGAAGGCGGCGGTGCCCTTGAGTTTCTGGCGGCGCGAGAAGAAGGCGAAGGTCTTTTCGACGCCGATGATGAGGGTGAGGCCGATGAGGAAGAGGATCTATTTTGTGTTGTTGTTAGTTTGGGTTGGCGGGGGCTGGGCGGAGGAGGAGAGGCTTTTGCGAGACGTAGGAAGGGTGGGGGAGAGGAGAAGGAAGAGTCGAACGTACGTTGCCCATGGCCAGTCTGTGAGGTTTGGAGGTTAGCTTTTGTGATTATACATCGTGATTTGGGAGAGCAGGGTCGGTGCTTGGGACGTACAGTGAGCGATCGAAGAACATCAGGACTCCGCCGAAGAGGAATAGTGCTCCTGTTGCATGGGGTCAATTGGTCTGGTCTTGGTTGGGTGAGATTGGTCTTGTATGAGCGTACCGGCGGAGCAGAAGATGACTCCTATCTCTGTGGGTTGGAAGACGCTGTGTTAGCCATGATTCCTGCTTTATGGAGCTTGGTTCTGGGAGGGTTGTAGATCGGAGTTGCCGGTTGCGCTTACTCTGGTTGTCGGACAGCCACATGGTTGGCATTTTTGTCTCACTGATGCAGGATTTGTAGGTATTTCGGTGTGTCTGAGGGGATGGTGGTCCTGGTTTGACGGCAAAAAGATTCGAATTGGATGCGCGATGCGAAACTCGAGATGTTGAGTAGATCGACAAACAGATGCTTGCGGAGAGGATCGCGATGTGCGACGGAGATGTCGCGTGCGCGCGGAGACGTCGATCAGAGAGGCCACGAAAGTTGGGCACTCGTAAGAGGTGTGTGAGACTAATCCGAAGGATAGAGTAAAAGCTCGATGCTGTATCGGCCCAATCGCTAGAACACAATCAAATGATTTTCCCCAACGAGTTGAATAAACATTGATGATAGGCGTCCAAAATTCCCCAATTCTGCCACGTTCCTTTCTTGGCGAGGTGAGAACTAGTCCCTCTTGGGATGGCGGTCGACTGGCTTCCGCACTTCCACAAAACTCGCGATTTTGCTCTCCTAAATCTTTTCTCTCAGCAACAGTATCGACTCTCCTTTCGAGATCTGTTATGGTGTTATGTTCAACACCCCAACAATGCCTATCGGCTGGCTACGTTGGCAATTCGGTTCAATGCCTCTTATGCTGAGGTGATTCATGGATAAATACACCAAAACAACACTTCAATGGTTAATTCCTAGTGCTACTGTTGAACAACACAACATGGACTGACACTGCAGGCACGACGCGTTCGTGCAATCGCTGGGTCCTCTCCTAACCATCTCCTCATGTATCCTATCTTCGTGCCAGCCTATTGCTGAGCGCAACCATACGCCGCGGCGACAGTATCCCCAGTGATGCTGTAACTGACGTTCCCTCCGGTGGAGCGTCGGTACTAGTCGAGTGCTGGTTCTTCCAGCACAGAGGCGAAGATCAAAATCGTATTTCTCATGATACAAGATCACGAATAAGCCGGAGCAGTTCCTTGAACCTGTCTCGAGAGGGGCAGGTGGGTGGAATCGCTTGACTGTGTTGGTCGTACATTATTTATCTCAAATTCAGACAAGAGTCATAGCGCCTAGCTAGAAACATAACATTAGATCCGACTCCATCTGTTCTTTACTCTGCGTAGACCATGCGGGACTTACCCTATATAATCCCATGGTAAAAAAGTAACTCCTAGATATCATGAAGCTCATTTCAGCACAACGTGTGCAGCCCTCAGTTCCAGATAACTCTCCGGAACACCCTGTCCCAACGTCCGGACCACGCCGAAAACCTCCTTGTCGTGATATCTCAGTCTCGTCTTGGGGTCCGTGTATGGGGCCGGCAGGCCGGTGATATCGCAGTATCGGGTCTGCTGGGAAGGGTTCAAGGACGGAGCGGACTCGATGTTGGTGTAGGTCACAGTAGGGCCGGAGAAGGCCGCGCGAGCGTTCTTTTCGAGGACCAGCGTGGAGAGGTTCTGCGCGGCTTGCGCGATGTTGGTTCGTGAGCCGCCCTCCGCAGGGGTCTGGCTTCCTTCGGTGCTGGCGGAGGTGGTGGCAGGGAGCGGCGTCGATGCTCCAGAGTTGGTCTGTGTGGCCATCACCGAGGCCTCTTTTCTCGAGCTCTCGGATATGAGCTGTTTGACATTCTTGTTGCGCCGTTGAGAGGGCTTCCAGTGCGGGTTGCGGAATGGGCGATGGACGTGCGCGATGTCGAGACGGTCCAGGAGTTGCTGATGTTTCTCGCTGTCTGCAGGTGTCAAAGGAGCCATGATGAAGGCCGTGTCTCAATGCGCTCCGGATTGTTGCTGGTGCAGAGTTGGTGTCGTGGTTTGAGAAGCTGGTTGCCTGGTTGCGAATGTTGGAGTTGATTCTGAGGGAGAGTCTAGAAGTGCGGTCCGGAAGCATGTGCGGATTGACCCAGGCCGTCGTTGTATGATGGCGCTGGCATCACCACCCCAATACCCGCAATAATCTTTCAGGAGAGAGACTCAGTTTAAATCTTGTATATCGAGGCATATCAGTTCTAGAAATAACTCTTTGCATGAGATCTACAGTTCCTTTTTGAGATACGCGACGACCAGTCTTAGTCACGTGACATGACATGGTGATTGGTTTCTTTGGCAAACGGGCAGCAACAAACAAACTTCACTACCAAACGATCCCAGTGTGTCTACCTTACAGTATACCACGATGGTAAGCAATCCCAGGCTCAAAGTACAAGTGAATTACGAGAAGGGAGAAGAACTAAAAGTCATGCAGGAAAGTCCTCACGAGCATCAGCAAGCCTTGCTGCTATCTCGCATCATCGGCAACATTGTGTGTTATTCCCTCTAATCAGTCAGAGGTCACGACTGACAAGGCCCAGGAAAAACTCAATGAATCGATCATGGTCATGAACCGCAATCTTCAGGTATTCTCCATATCCTTTCATATTTTTCGTCGAGGATGTTGACCGTTGCATTACAGGAGATCAACATCCAGAACATGAATGTTGAGCTCGTAGCGCAGATGTTCAAGAACTACCAGTCCAATGTCCTGTTCCACTTGGAAGGTATAGTAGATTCCGAGTCGGTAACAGCGCCTGCCTGGTTCGATGTTGCTAACTTCTCCTAGCGACGGACAACCTGAAGGAGCCATCCTGAGCCTTTACCAGCGTTGACTATTGTACTAACGACGATATGATATTCCGTTTCCATTTTTCTAATGAAATTTTCTTCTGGTGAATTGAGACTTGTGCTGTTGAGTAAATTATGTAAAGACCCGGACAATTTTCCTTGCTTGTTCTGTATAAAAGGTGTATTATCCCCATGATCTTGGCATCATGCGGCGCCGGCGGCCGGAAGGTGCAGCGAACCCAACTCTTTCTCTTGACTATCTCGTTTATCACCACTTCCGCCGCCGCCTCCAGACTTCTCCTCCCTTCCAAGAAACCATTTTGAGGGAGGACACTCAACATCCTTCATCTTAACCCACCAACCCTTTGTCCAGATAAAATTGCAACCCGCGACAAATCGCAATGCAATGAACTGCGGTTTTCGCCAGAAGCTCTTGAACTGCTAGTCCTGTTAAACCGGGCCCGGTTGGCCCCAGAAGACCACCATGGCCATCACTTCCATTTCAACCGTCCTTCCCACTCGATTTTCAGTCAATTCCTCCGAAAAGGCGGCCGCAAAACCGCCACCTCCCACGCCCTATAATGTCCAAGATCATCCGTTCAAAGGGTACCACGCACCCCAGCCTGAAGGCTATGCGAAGAGCTCCGGCACCAGCGCCATCGTTATCGACAATGGTGAGTGAAGACCACCCTTCTCTTCGGTTGTGAACCTTGGTGTCTAACCTTATATCATCTATGATCTAGGCTCCAACCTGGTCAAAGCGGGCTGGTCCTTCGACAAGAAGCCGCGCTTCATCATACCCCCCGTAATGAGTCGGTATCGCGATCGGAAACTGAACAAAGCCTGTCAATTCATCGGAAATGACGCTTACGTCGACGCTACGACGCGCGGACAGCTGCGGTATGCGTTCGATCCCGGCTCGAGCGTGGTGGGCAATTGGGACGTGATGGAGGGAGTGCTGGACTACTTGTTTATCAAGCTGGGGGTGGACGGGGGCGCCGACGGAGGCGTCGATCGGCCCATCGTTATGACGGAGCCGATCGCGAACCTGAACTATCCGCGACGCAGTAAGTCTGATGGCCACCTCGTCGTTCTTGGGCGGATGTGATCAAACCGAAATGGGAACTTGTGGTTGCTAATGTGGTTGCAGTGATGAACGAAATTCTCTTCGAATGCTATTCGGCGCCGTCGGTAGCCTACGGCATCGACTCCCTATTCTCCTACCGGTATAACCGTGGCACGGACGGTCTCATCGTCTCCTCATCGCATACATCCACGCATGTCATTCCCATACTGAACAACAAGGCCCTGCTGTCGAACTGCTCGCGCCTGAACTGGGGCGGTCTTCACGCGTCGGAATACCTCCTGAAGCTGATGCGGCTGAAATACCCGACTTTTCCGGCCCGCATGACCGACAACCAGATGCAAGATTTGGTGCACAAGCACTGCTATGTCTCGAAGGACTACGACCAAGAACTAAGCCGGTACCTGGATTGGACGGGGCTGGAGGATCGGGACCACATCGTCCAATACCCGTATACGGAGCATGTCGTTCCGGAGAAGACGGAGGAGGAGCTGGCGCGCATCGCGGAGCGGAAGAAGGAGAGCGGGCGGAGGTTACAGGAGCAGGCTGCGAAAATGCGCCTGGAAAAGTTGATGAAGAAGGAACAAGAATTGGAGTACTATAAGGATCTACAGCGGGGGCTCGCGTCCGAGTCGAAGAAGGAGGCCCGACGCATCTTGGAAGCCGAGGACCTGAAAGACGATGCACACCTTGACCGCTTGATCCGCGATCTCGAGCGGTCGATCAAGCGCTCGCGGAATCGTGATCTGGGCATCGAGGAGACGGAAGAACCACAGGAGGAAATGTCATTCCCGCTGCTGGATGTTCCGGACGAGGAGCTCGATGAGGCCGGGCTCAAGGAGAAGCGCCACCAGCGACTGATGAAGTCTAACGTGGAGGCTCGCCAACGCGCCAAGGCCGAGAAGGAACAGGAGAAGGCTCGTCAGGAGGAGGAAGAAAGGCTTGACCGCGAAAAGCGGGAGAATGATTTCGACAATTGGTTGGCTGAGCGAAGGGCTAACCGTCAGGTAATTTATCTACCTACATGCTTTGGCACTTTGGCACTGACATGGTCTTATAGAGCCTCCTGCAACGAATCAAAGAACGCGACAGGATGAAGGCTGATCTGGGCAATCGCAAGTCGCTCGCCAGCCAAATGCGCATGAAGACCCTGGCCAACCTCGCCGCGGACGGGCCCAAGAAGAGACGGAGAGGCGGCGATGACGACACCTTCGGCGCCAACGATGAAGACTGGGGTGTCTACCGCACCGTGGCTACCGGCGATCAAAGTGACGAGGAGGAGGAAGAGGATCTCGGCGGTTTGCTTGACGCGGCCGAGAAGGAGCTTCTGGAATACGATCCGGAATTCACGGAGAACCACACGCTGGCGGCGCAATCCGACTGGACCAAGAGTCTGGTGCACGTGTTCTTGCGGGGTCCGTGGCCGTTCGATCCAGAGAGCCAGCGCGAGGCCCATCAGATCCATCTGAACGTGGAGCGGATCCGGGTTCCCGAGGTCGTCTTCAAGCCATCCATCGCCGGCATCGACCAGGCGGGACTGGTCGAGATCGCCGCCGATATTGTCAACCAGCGCTTCTCGAATCCCGAGGAACAGGCCCGGCTGCTGCGCGATGTTTTCTTCACCGGTGGCAATACGCTCTTCCAAAACTTCGACGAGCGGTTCCGTCACGATTTCCAGGCGTGTCTACCGGCCAACAGCGTGTTGAACGTCCGCCGGGCGGCGGACCCTATCCTAGATGCCTGGAAGGGCGCCGCTCAGTGGGCGTCGGGCTCGGAACTCCGCAAGTCGTCCATTACACGGCAGGAGTACCTCGAGAAGGGCAGCGAATACCTCAAGGTAAGTTTGTGGAGCTTCCCGACGGGAGTGATACAACGGATGATGTGATGTGCATGTATCGAGGCTGACCACGGTCTACAATAGGAACATGATCTGGGTAATGTCACCACGTGGTAGTATATCTAAACACTTGTTGGTTGTTTGTGGGTGTGTACGTTTACCTTATCGACCCTGTCGATCTAGGATATCCGCCCTACTCCGCTGATTGTCTCTCCGACATGATGTCACCGAGCATCGCCCCGGGGGTTTTCGGATATGACAGCAACCCATAGCATCTCACAGAACCCGAGTTTGCCGTCCTGCCCGTCCCGTGACTGCAATGTTCACCAGCTTTATACTCCAGTATTACTTGGAATGTGAATTTTGTTTTGCGGACGACGAAGCCCCCAAGCACGTGGTGGGGTTAAAGATTTCCAGCTAGTATACAACAAGACAACAAGGCGTCCGGCGTCCAAGCGAGTGCGGATTGAATGGGAGAAAGGGAAAACCAATACCTAACTTGAACCTTCAGAAGGAACCTGTTTTTGAATTTTTGCCATGCGTGTGTGTGTGCTTTGCTGGAAGAAGAGAGCTCTTGTTGTTCCTTGAAACTAGCTTTTCAACCTTTAGAATATTGAAGTCAGTTCAATTTCCAGCAGACTTGTCCTCCATAGGTGTGTGTATGTGGAGTAGTTGGCACGGGTCGATCAGCCTCCCGCCAAGAGATGATTTCCCTCCCTCTTTCTGTCTTTCATAAGGCCCCAGTGCTTTTGCTAAAGTTGATCAGGAATCTTGTCTGTCCGTCCATCCAATGGATACATTCATCTCTCTAATTCTGCAGATCGAGGAATCTGAAATCCTAGGAAATCCTTGACCTGCAAGACCGACGCCCGGGCGCGAGAGTTCAATAGCTCTTCCCTTGTGAAGTATGGTAACTTGTAAGATATTAGGTATACTTTAGACTTTCGCCCATTGTCCCAATTGTCCAAGGACAATCAAGTACGAAGTACTGTAACACAAACCCCACCAGCACAAACCACCAACGCCGCCAGCACCAGATCCCCTCCCTTCCCCTCCCCTCCCCCAAATCTCCGAAATTGTAAGGGGGAGGGGACAAAACCAAGTGCGGACGATCCTCGGAACAAAACCCGACGTGGTTTCTTCTGGTTTGAGATGCTGTAATTGGTTCTGGTTAGTGCTTTTCCATCTCTGAGGACAGCACCCGCATCAAAAGTTCATGGTTCTCCTTAGTGGTGAGATGCCCCCAGTAAAGTAGTCACGAGGTTCGTGAGGTAAGCTAGGTTTGGGGTATGGTGTATGGTGTATGGTGGAGTCTGTATCACGGTGTAACGTATCTACTGTCTTTGTTATTGTTAACTCACGTACTGTAAGTTGTTTGTGACTGCGGGATTGGTTGGCTATTGCACAGTGCATGAAGACGGAGGTATGCGTATGCGTATGGATGGGTCAGGGTACTGTCACGCAGATAGGCTCTTGGGGGTTGATTCTACAGTACAGTACAGTACATACATACATACATGGATGAGTAGGTTGGTCGGCTGGGTGGCTGCTCGGTATAATTTCCAGAACCTATGTCGACTCGAGTAGTATGTATGAGGTGAGGAAGTGGGTTCAATTCCAGGTCCGAAAAATGAGAGTGAGTATACACAGAAGAGGTTCCTTATCAGCCTTGTGGGTCTTGGATATCATTCCTCAGTCAGTTGATCAGTCTATCAGTAGTAAAGAATGAAATCATTCTGGTTGCTGCCGGAGGCATCCGGCAGGATCTGCAGCGCCGTTCGGCTAAGCTCGAAGCTTCGATAGGCATGGACAGAGGCAGAGGAGGGTAAGGAAAACAACTAGAGTGGAAACTACCTTTTCCTGTTCATCCGCGGGTTGCACGATGGACGTGGCGTGGTTCGGCCACTGGTTCCTGGTTTTTCGTGGTGGTGGTGGTGGTGGTTGCTGTTCTGTTCTGTTGGTTGATGCTCTTGCTGCTGCTGCTGTTGTTTTTGCTGCTTCGAATCTCTGCAGCTGTTTTTCAATATCATTTCTATTGCATTCTCTTGTAGTATCAGAGAAGAGAAATCCATCTCGCTGGTGCTAAGTCTGGGCAGGGCGGAAAGAGCGGCCAGACCATGACGGTAAGATTACCGTCGGTACCGGATGCCGGGCGCCAAGCCCTGATGACAGGCCATTTGGCAACCGATATTGAAGCAACTAACTATGAGTTACTCATGTAGTTAAGTTACTTCTCGATGATTCAGTCATCACGCAACCTCCTCCCTTGCACCACATCCCCCCCCCCCCCCCCCCCCCATCAGTCCATGTCTCTTGCCGATCAGTGATGTGATGCCAATCGTCTACTGCCAAGCGTTCCCGCTTCGGGCCCCTGCGAAGTTGAGCTGTGATGGTCTTCCCCTCCTCCAATGCTTGTCGTTGGGCAGAAGATGAACAAGGGTACTGGACAAGAATTGGGTTAATCAACCAGTGAACCAACTGACTAGCTAGCTATAGCTGCAACTAGCGCCAACTTGCAAAACCTTTTCCTCATTAAAGGAAAAACATCATCCAATCGCCCAAAGCCTGGACCAAGTTCGGAATCAACTTACTTCATGCAGAAGGGAAACTATGACGCATCTGGGGGAGCCAACACTTTGTCTCTATCTCCCTCCCACCATCGAACCTTCACACACGGTTCTCTCGGCATCTGGTCTTTGGGGCCAGAACCAGAAGAAGATGGAATCTGTGCAGACCCCGAATTAATGAAAAGAGACAGAAAAAAAAAAAAAAGCTATCACAGCGTAGATGGACCTCTGACGTAAATGCTACGCTTGGGTGTTGACTTGGGGGTCGAAGAGGGATAGACCATGTGCATTTCCCCCCTTCTCTTGAGTATAAAAAACCCTGTCCATGTCGCACATCTGATGCCATTCAGGACCAGTCTGTAACCAGTTCGATCACAAAGAATCCAAAGCCACCACTCAAGGCCTTGCCTATCGCGCGCACGCCCTTTTCTCCCAGCTCTCTCTTTTTCTCCAGCGAATTTAAAGCAACCCTAGCCCGCCCTCGATCTCACCAGGTCATCCATCTCCTCCTCAGAGTCGAAAAGACAATACAATATACCGAAGATGTTGCTCTCGACCACCGTGGCGCGTCCCCTGCAGCTGCTCACCCGGTTCATGCAATGGGCCAGCGCAGTCATCGTGATGGGCATCACCTCCTACTTCATCCACCGGGGTCCGCGCGGCCAGCACATCATCTACGATGAGGTTATTGTACGTTTGCCCTGATTTTCCGAAGTATACACCATCCGACTAACCACCATCTTGTATGGTCCAGTCCACCATCTCCGTCGTCTTCTTTCTCCCGGCCTTCGTCTCGCCGTTCATGCCCCACGCCCTGAGCAAGTTCGTCCTAGCGATTGACGTGATCTTCTCCTACCTGTACGTTCTCCTTCCCCTTCCTGTCCCCAAACCCAAACCTAAACCCTATACACCACCAACAACCCTAGTGGCTAACATTGACGCAAAATAAGATGGCTCACCTCCTTCATCTTCGCCGCCCAAGACTACAACTGGCACAACTGCGCCGCCAACGCTCCCCCGGGGGCCTCCTGCGCCCTGAAGAAAGCCAACGAGGCCTTCATCTTCCTCACTTTGTACGTGGCCCTTCGCACCTTCCCCCCTCCCCCAAACCAACTCTCGCGCTATCCCCACCCACCCGCCCTAGACTCAACAGAAAGAAGCGAATACTAACACCTCCGGAAAAGCATCTTCACCTTCTTCGCCATCTTCCTCGAAGTCGGCGCCCTCTGGGCCTACCGCCGCGAGAACGCCGCCCCCGTCCGCGAGAAGAACACGGGCGGCGCGCACGGCGGGCCCGCGGATGCGCCGCTCGCTGCGTCGGCTTAGCGCCTCCACCGGTTGTTACTTGGTGTGAACTGAATGGGACCTAATCTGGGCAGGAATGTGCTTGCTGGTCTGGGACCACTGTCATCGGCTAAGTCACTGAATGATTCCGAAGGATGATTGTGTTGCGGGATCGGATTTTCTTCGACCCTTGTTGTGATGATACCATGTTCTCAGTCGGTGGGAACTACCTCACCCGCGCCATGAGTTGCTGCTTTACTTATTTACTAGCTTAATATTGTTGTGGTTGGGGGGGTTGAATGGGGACTTGGGTTTTGTGTTTGTTGGTTGGTTGGTGGTTATCGTGATGGTGATGGTGATGCGGTAATGGATCTAATGATGTTGATGATGATGATGATGATGATGATGCTGATGAGGTGGGTGAAGAGATAGTGGTTATGGTTGTTGTTGTTGTGTTTACCTTTCTCGCTACCACGTTTATAGTTACAGTAATTAACTTAATCTTCCTTTTCTCAACTTTCAGTGCCGACTGGATGATACTCGTATGGTATTCGTCTTGGAATTGTAGAAGGATTGCGACGATGCTCTCCCTTTTTAAACTGGACTTGACGTAAGTATGCTTCGCTTCATGCAGAGCTGCTCGTATATCCAACTCTATTGAAATCAACGACTCTAACAATCAGCCGCGTCTATAAGCTTGATCCGTACAGCCATCTAGTCAAAAAACAAACCGAGTCCTGGCATCGTTCGTCAAAACACACCGGGAAAGCCAAGGACCCCTATCCAACACCTCTATACTTCCTCCCCGGCCGCATAACCGCATACCGGTCCTCATCATCTTCCTCCCCAGCCTGCAGCAGCACCACTTTCCCCTCCTCGCCCGCGCCCGCTTGTCCCTCTAATGTGTCTGGCTTCTCTTCTCGAACGATATACCTCGTCTCCGTGGGCCCCTCCTTCGTCACACCCGCATCGCCAGCAAAAGCCGATGCAGAGGCAGAAGGAGAAGGAGTAGGGGTCCTCCCCGTTGCACCCGCAACAGCCATCATCCCATCCACACTCAGCCAAAACCCCTCCCGCAACCCCCGCGACCATACCACCACCCCCAGGTCCACCACATGCACTGCTACCGCCACCGCCAGCACGATGGCGATGGTCCATTCCCACGGCAACCGCGGTCCGGATCCATACAGCTGCCACCGCACGGGACCCTGCAGGGTCGTCTGATCCGTACCATTGCTACCACTACCCCCCTCGGAACTCGCCCCCTGCAGCACAGCGGAATACGTCCAGTCGAACGAGGTGATCATGTCCGTGAACACCGTGGCAACGACAGCTGCGACCCCGTCCAGGCGCGTATACCCCCGGTTCAGACTGACGAGGTCATCCGCCAGAGTGAGCGCTAGCGAGGTGAGGTTGAGGAGGGCAGGGTCGGACGTGAAGGATTGAAGGTTGGGGAGGATCGCTGTGAACCAGCTGGTGGTTTCGGCGGCGATGGAAGCGTCGGCCTGAGACGTGCTGTTCTTGGGGAGGAGGGCGAGGGCCGGGTTGGGGTTGTTCTCGCCGTAGTCGATGGCGTAGGCATAGTTGCTGGTGCCGGAGTACAGCCATTGACTCAGGGGGATCTGGGCTTGTTGGACCTGGAGCTGGCAGGTGGCACCAGGGAAGGCGTTGGTGCTGTTGTCGTTGTCGTTGGTGTTGGTGACGGGGCCGATGATGAGGGTGATGGTTGCGTTGGAATTGAAGGTGGCTTCCCAGGCCCCTGCGCTGCTACTGCTGCTGGAATTCGAGTGATCGTTACAAGAGGTAGTAAGGAGGACACCGGGGATGAGGAGAAGCGCGTTCCATCCGGTGGAGTATCGTGCCCAGTTGTGCTTGCTGTGTGCTTTCTGCGCCTCGTACATCTGGATGGCGAGGTCGCCATGCACGGCCATCGATTGGATAACTGCGGAGGACTCAGGGATCCGGATTGCGCTAAAGGCAGGTACTTCGTTATCCCCGAGGGAGCGCCAACCGGGCGCGTTGTTGAAAGTGTCGTAAAGAAGGCCCAGGGCTTGGAGGGAGTGATAGGCTGCTAGAGAGTGTGCCTGGAGGGAACGGACGTAAGCATCATTCTGACAGGCAAATGCCAAAAGAAAAGAAAAGAAAACAAGAAAAAGGCGAATCGTACCACCTCCCAAGAAACAGGCCCTCCGATGCGCACCATATCCCAGGCTTTGCCCCACAGCGACATTCGACTGACGCTCGCTATCTGGGACGTCTGGTTCGTGAAATAGAATCGATCATCCGGAGGATCCGGCACCACATAGCGCGTGTCTGGCCACCAACGGGATTTGGGAATGGCTATAGTGTTCATGGCTGCCCCGAGCAAAAAGAGACAGATCCCTACCGCCAGTGCACCGCCAAGTCGTAGCCATGCGATACGCTTGCGCACACCAAGTTCGCATCGCTCTTTGAACGCCGAAATGGCAGCCCAGAGACTCTGGTGCTCTTCGTACAGCTCAAATTCTAACAGGCTAGCTCCCTTCTGCCCCTTTCCAGTCATCCAGTGGGTGACTAACGTAGTGAAACTGTGCTGGAGAGCCCCTTGGGTGAGAAGCTGCAGGATACTGTTTATCACACCAATGGCGGCGAGCTGGGCATCTTCATCAACAAGAACGCCATTTCCGACCGTAAGAGATGCGATATCATAGCTCTTCCCAATGGCGCCGAGAACGATTGCTCTTTTGATGCCAGTGATTAGTGATAGTATGTAGAATGAACGCACGAAGCGCCCGGTAGCTCACGTTATAAGTATGAAAAGGGCCACGACCCGAAGGAACACGATGCGCGTCAGGGTGGCGCCATCGTCATGGAGTTCATAAGCTTCGTCCATCCCTGAATTTACAAAAAGATGCCTCCACCGCCAGCCCTTTCTCTTCTTGAGCAGTAGTGACGAGGCCGGCTCGGTAGTAGCTGGTTGGCTGGCCTGAGAATGTCCGCCGCCGCTAGGATCGCCATCGCGACCATTTGCTGTGTTGAAATGAAGACTCTGATGGGTCGAGGACCTATATACTGTACTAGTCGAGCTGGGTCGAGATGGAGTGACTTCTCCACTGCTGGGAAGAAGGCGCTGATCTTCGCTTTGTTCAACTTGTAGACGATGGGGGCCAGAACGATGGAATTCATCCAGACCGGTTTGCGCCTCCGGCAGTGCCATGATCGCGGGACCGGGCCGCAAACATGACAGCGGATGCGGTTCGAGCCGTGTAGGTGGTGGTTCTTATAGTCGAAGCATGCCAAGCTCATTGTACTGGATCCAGGAACGAAGGCTGCATGTCCATTTTGCCTCTGAGGTCGACGTGTGGTTGCCATTGGGTGTAGGCACAAGGCTAGAATTTCGGCGCTGAATCCCTCCCGGAGGCTGTTACCTGTTTCGGTAATTCCCCGAAGAAACGACCATAAAGGAGACGCTGTGGCCCGTGAGCCGTCACGACGCTTTGATTGATGGCTCCATCGAAAACCTGGAGAAGCTCACTCAGGAGTTGTCGGGCTCTTCGTTGCATAGGTCATATAGTTCACAGTAGCACTGCTGGGTATCGGGACAACTGTCAATTCGTGACACTGTTAGCACTGCATTTCCAGCCAACCAACCAGGGACATAGCACGTACGCGACTGGTGCTTCTAGAAAAACAATATGCCACAGCATTTCAAAGACAGATCCGACAGCAAAATTGTCCAGCTCCGTGGTAATCGCCCAATCGCGCATCCGCATGTAATCTTCTTTCGGTCGGCCCCGGATGCGCTCGCGTGAGACCGCAAATTGACCGCAGCAAACGCCTCCAATTTCCGGAGGAATCTGGTCCACAGGCACTCGGAATAGGTCTAGATAGATGCTGGTGAAGTTGCGGTACACAATGTTATGGTCGGAAGCCATGTCAGGGTCAAACGGCCGCACGGCCACCGGACAGCCCGGGCGATGATGGCAGCGCAAATTAGCGTATCCCAGCCGCTCCACCGTGCGAAGATTGAGACTGCGGAGCAATGATGGCGAATCCAGGTCCCTGACATCATTATGCCACTGGCTATCACCGCCGTGCATGAACACGGTGATATCGGCCAAATGGTCGTAGTTATCGACGATGTGCGTTAAGTAGGCCATGCTCTCACGGCCCTTATTCGCGGGGAGGTTGGCAAATCCGGGTTCTTGGTCGGAAGTATAGATGTATGGCCTCCAGCTATTCAAGACGTTAGTAAGTAGACCCGGTTTCTGTTCGCGTCTAGCTGTCCATGAGCACGGCGTCTGCTTACTGGGGCATGACCCGGTAAGCCCAAGAGGTATCCTCTCTTCGAGACTTTGCCACAACCAAAGCCAGAGTTCTGTCCGGGTTCACTGTCGGGTGCCGATCTGCTGGCTGTTAGTAGAGACCTCCAGGCTGTGAAAACCTAGGGATGGGTCACCAACGCGAGATTGTGAGAGCTTCATCTCCCATCACGACCAGTAATAGAAACACCAGGAGAATGCAGCAGATGACCAATAGAGTCCATGTGCGATGTAGCAAAAGTCGTAACGGACCACATGGAGAGGCCGTCATTGTTTCTACTGCAGCGTCCAAAGAATCGTTCAGTCGGAGGTTCGCCCCAGAGGAACCGGTTCCTCGATGGGAAACAGGTGGTGGAGATAAGCACAGGCTTCAAAGGTGCATGGTTTTATTCTGACGGGTGGTCCGGAAACAAGCAATGTCTCAGGAGGAGTAACTGGGGCCCCGGGAAATAAATGCACGCGTAATGATCAAATGTCCAAGTCAGCAGGGCCCTTGAGAAAAGATAAACAATCGGAGAGAGAGAGGGAGGGGGGGGAGAGAAACGGATTACTCCGTAATGCAGAGTGGATTGGAGTGCATTAACTAGTCCCGGTGGCAGTGACAAGCTTGGTTGCCATCCGCGGGTCTAGAACATCGGGTATTGTACGGAGTAGACTAAGTGTGAGACCAATTGGTTGGGGGCGGGCGACGCCGCGACGGAGTGGAGAGAGAGAAAGCAAGCTCCGGTCTTACCGTAAGCATACTGTGTAGGGTCTGACGGTCTGTAGATCCCGTCCCGATCGATCCCTTCGTTTTTTTCCTCAGACACATTTCCTTTCGCCTTACATCTATCTAACATAGCGAACACGAACAACAATTTCAGCATCAGCATCGTGTCTTCCAGATACTCCCTACAGATACGTCTACAGTTGACATGGTAAGAGTCCAAAATTCTAGGCTATATATCTAGATTGATTTGCATTGAGAAATAACTACTCTCTACCTCAGATACTTGCGCGTCGGGGCGCTAGTGTCCGTTGAAGTTTCTTCTTCTCTTCCGTCTCTTCCGGTAACGGAAGAGACCCTTCGTTCTTCAACTTCTCCAAGTATTCTTTGCCGTACGTGTACCCCACCTGATAGATCTCATCAAACTTAGCAAACTCCAGCGTGCCGTATTTGTCGATCGGCGGTCGCATATACAGGCACCCGGGGGTCGTCTTGGCGCGTTCAAGGTTCTCGATGGACGAAACATATGCCAACCGTGCTTGAATTTCCGACAGAGTGGGGGGATTGGGTAATGAGGAGAACGGATTCCAGCGGTTGAGCACCGTCCAGAAGCCAGATAGCGAATCTCCATACCCTTGGGGGGTATTATCGTCGATAGATCCAACATCAACCGCGAAAATCACGTCCGCCCCCAACCCTTTCATGTGGCCTACAGTGAGATTGTCGATATACCCGCCATCGAGCAGCATGCTACCTTCGTCACAAATCGGTGGAATCAAGCCTGCCAGAGACATAGACGCACGGACATAGCGCCACGTGTAACCGGACGAATGATACTCCGCGCGAGATCGGCTGATATTGGTGGTGTTGCAGTAGAACTCCAACCAGAAGTCTTCAATTTGGCTGTTGCCGAATGTTTTGAAAATTCCGCGATTGAACTCGTGTCCAGTCGTGTAGGACACGGTCGGATAGGTCAGATCCAGCGCAAACCTCCAGATGCTTCCCATGCGACCGGCAAACTTCTTGGCCCGACCATACATAGGCACGACGTCCGCATCTCGAGCATACAAAGCTCCGATGAACGAGCCGATGGAGGTCCCACCAATGATGTCGATGGGGATGCCGGCTTCTTCAAGCGCTTTGATGACTCCCACCTGAGCGATACCTCGAGCTCCACCGCCACCTAACACAAGTCCGACTGAACGACCACATAGCCGGCGGGCCAGCCGATGGAAATCGCCCTTGAATGGTGTCTGGGCCGAATAAAGAGGCGTCTGGCGTATACGGCGGGATGTGTACTTCTGGATCTCGGCTTGGATGACCTGGACTCGTTGTTTCAATACCGTCCCTAGGCGTTTCGTTTGAGAATGCGTGGGTTCAGCCGCGAGACGATAGGGCATCTGGATGTGGTGATGACCTCCATTGATCCACACACGATTCTTCAGCCATTGACGAGTCAATCCGGGATGACAGTACCGTTCTTCGTGTATCAGCACCAGTTCCTTTCTGGACGTTGTTTTCATGCCCAACAGGAATCGTTCATATTCACCAATGCCGGGCGAGGATTCTGCAAGACCGACCAGCAGGATACAATCGGCCTGGGTGATACAGGTTTGCGTCCACGGTGCATTTACGGTGGTGTCAGCAATGTAGAGCACCATTCCATACTTTTCTTCTAGGTCCGCTAGATATTGTGTCAACTTCAATTTCCCCATCTTACTGAAAGCATGCCGTCCTAGGTGATTCAGGATAGCAGCTTGGTTGAGAGACGTGACGCCGTTCGTCACCCCGATCTGATGCAAGGCTTGCAGCAGCCGGTGCCCGAACTCAACGACAGGAACTCCGCCTGTCACCGGCAAGACGCAAACAGTCCGCAGGTTGAGAGTTGAAGATGCTGTTTTGATGGTGCCGGAATTGCCTCGTTCCAGCCCTTGTTCTTTCACCGGTTGCTCCACCAGGTCTCGCATCCGTTGTGCGATGAGTTTAGATACTTGGATGGTAATCCCGGGGTGCTCTTGCGCCAGGCTGTTAAACAAGGTCCGCGGGAACTTAGCCAGTTCAGTGTCGCGAATTGCATGTAGAGATGACGGGCGGGTCGACTCGGTCATCACCTCCAACTCGCCAATACTGTCACCCTGCCCGTATTCGCTAAGGACCGTCACCTTTCCATCAGTACCTTCGAGGACCGACCGTAAACGACCGTTCAGCACAAGGTAAATAGCATCACTTTCGTCGCCCTGGTGATAGATCACTTGACCAGCATTGACCTGCACCCATTCCAGTGCGAAGTCAATATGGAGGAGTAGGCGGGGGAGAATGCTCGTCAGTCGTTTAGCCAGCGTCAATAGAGCAATCGGATACCGCTCCGCTATCCTCTCCAGAGAAGCCCGCGGGAGGAATCCCACGTAAACATCCGTTTTGGCAACCACGTCTGTGTACGAGCGATAGGATGCGACGGCACCAACATAGCCTTGAATCCCTCCAGGCTTTATCATATACAGAGACTTCCGTGGCTGTCTCTTGCGCTTAGGGTCACTAGTGCCAGTTCCCATACTTGTGGTCGAAATGCGCGAAGTGTTGGTCTGAGTCCGTCTCAGAGTTGGGAAGGATTCCTCGCGAGGTTGCGCATGCGCCGGGCGGGAGGATCCGACAAGATCATCTTCTTTATCGCTGACAGGGATTCCCACATCCAGGAATCCATCAATCACATAATACAAGCCTGGATGGCGCTCGCCTTGCTCCACCAGCACGGACCCTTGAGGAAAGTAAACAATCTCGATGTCGTTTCGCAACTCTTCCCTCAAATTGATGACTGGCGACGTACCACCGGCACTTGTGACGGACATCGACATCATTGACTCTGTATCATCTACGGAGGCTTCGTAAGGATCAATAAAGCCAAAAGCATTGTTGCCAAACACCGCCTTTTGGCGACGCGAGTCGTAAGAGAGAAGCCTTGGAGATGCGTCGCCCGAATTTTGACTCTTGCGGAGAAGGCCATTGGTACTTTCGGTCAAACCGATGCCCTTCATGATGCATTCTAGTATAGATTCACGGAAGAGAGCATCCTCGTCCACGTTTTCCTTCCGATAGAAAGATCCCATGGGCTGGATGATGGGCGATGGGGATCGCAAAGGCGACTGTTCCTTCTCTGCGAGTGGGCTCAGCAATTTTGGAGCAAAGTTCTCATACCTAGACCCAAAGCGCGAGAATTGTATGCTAGATAGCAAGTCCCCAGGGCTAACACCTGCAGCTTCACGATCGCTGAGAGAGTTGTTCTGGATCACAGCCGCAGTCGGGCGCCGCGATACGCCCAGTTTTGCGTGGAGCACAGCGTCTTTTCTTCGGAAACTACTCGACCGGTTTCTCCTACCCGAGAAGGGATTGTGTAGAGCAATTCCTTTCGTGACTTCTTCCGGGCCCAGTCGATTCCGCTCCTTGATAAACTTGTCTTTGAGGCGATCCAGCGCTGCCCCTCGCATTTCGTTCGGCAAGTCATGTGTAGTGAACTTGGTCATCTGTTTCTCAATCCCCAGAACCTCGTTGTTCAGACCCAGATAAGAGTGGGCTGTCATGAATGTCACTCTTTGTAACCGCGTGAGGATGACCTGCACAATATGTGCGGTCGCTTTGGGATAGACCCGGGTAAGACGGCGGAAAGCACTAGCGGGTATGATTGCTATAGTTGTGTCGACCATTGCTCGCGCCACAATATCTGGATGAACCGACTTCTGGCCATGCTTGCCTCGGTGCGCTCTTGTACTTGATTGGGCATTCTGGGTGTTGGGCGTGGGCGGTGTGTGACTTTCACCAAGGTGTAAGGGAGGCACAGGTGGCAAGAAGTCCGCACTGTCGTTGATATGGGAGGTAAAGCTGCGGTCTCTGGGAAGGGTCGGCGGAGAAGCATCCAGCGCCTGAGGGCTAGCCGGGAAGGAGTCAGACAAACGTGAAGGGGTAGGTCTTAGGACAGATGAGCTCTGCTCAGCGCTATCCCCATATTTCAATTGAACATCCTCCGTGAACAGTGATAGTATAGAGAACAGAGACGACATCGATGCGCCATTCTTGACCTCAGTCAAAAGTTGGTAGCCTTGTCTCCCATCGACATTGTGGTCATCCTCGTCCGACGACGCGCGATTCGTTTCTCCCTCTTCAGCTGACTCTCCCTCTCGAGTGGATTTGACGAAAATCTGTACCAATCCGTCGACAACTAGACAAAAGCCTTTCTCCTCTTCCAACAGAAGCGTCTCGCCCGCGATTAGCTTCCTGGTTTGCATTGTTCGCGTCAACTCATGAAAAACCGGTCTCTCCAGGTAGCCGAAGACTTTGATCGCGCTGAGGAATTCATCCAGGTAGTTGGCTAGACCAGGCTTGGAGTCTTCCTCTTGAATGTTTGGGAAGAGGTCGAGCTGGGGTTCCTTGCGTTGCGGCTCCGGAGGCAATCGGCTGTACATGTTCAGGAAGCGGTAGCGTATGAACCAGCTGATGGTCGAGACCACGGCCAGCGCGATGAGCAGTCTATGATTGCACCAGGCATTGTGTTAGTTGTGTTGTCGGGGCCCGGTCCAGGATCGGGCTCGTCTGGGGTCAACCACTCACAGCGTTGTGAAATTCATTGTGAAGGTCAAGCTCATAGAGAACAGCGTGAACAGCCATGTTGGAAGAGTAATTGTCGAGAAGGTAATAATCCAGTATAGCACACCTGGAATGACCTGGAAGAGGACGGAAAACACCCAACCAATCCACCCCACCATGGTTGTCGGAGTAGGAGGGGGTACTGGCCGGGGCGGAAGATGGGAGGAGAAGCCGGGCACCAGGGAGATGCTG